AACAGTTCTTAGGTTTACATCTGAAAAATAAGGATGGAGGGGTGCAGTTAAGTTTGATGTGTCCAGGAATCTGCCGATTTATTCTGATTTGGGTTGATACAAATCGTCCTGCTATGTGTTCATGCCATAGCCCTCATGGTGGGATATCAGAGTGCTTCATCCACATCAGAGAAATGTGGAACAAGGCGTTTTAAATGGTCAGATGGTCACTTCTTGCCTATCACCTTGTGACCTTTCCTGCCACTTCCCATTTGCTAATCTTTCTCTTTGCCCCCCAGCAAGGCTTGGAAGGGAAATACTTTACTTGCTAGTGTGGTTTACTTCATTTCAGAGCTCTGCCTTAGCTGAGAAGAAGGGGGTAGAGCTGCTAGTGCCAAGCAACAGTGGTGCTCCCCAGCGTGGACAAGTGCCCATGTAACGTATGCTGTGGACCGCCAGTGGGACAATGCCACTGTCCGACCACAGTGCCCATCAGACCTTGTCCATCATCCCCAGGGAGGGGACCTGGCAGCAGTGCCAGCACAGCAACTCATCCACGCTCTCCCCTGTGCTAGTGGGTGGCCAGAAACCATCCCCTTGGCTCATGCCCAGAGCCTGTACTCCTCTTTGGTGTCCTCTTCCTGTGTCTTGGATCCTACTCACTATGCACAGGAGGCCATGCACGGGTGGATCTGGCCTTTAAATCCTGAGCCACCAAACATACCCGCATGCCTCCTTTATAATGCCAAGCTCTTGGCTATCAGCCTTTTTCCTCCCCTTCGAAGAGGGAACAGGAGAGTAATTCCCTGTTGAAGCAGTGCTCAGCATCTCGCCAAAGTAGCACCCAGCAGAGTTGGGCAGTGGAGGCTGAGTGACATATCTGGAAGGCAATGGGGGCATGTCTACCCTCCACCCTCTTGCTCTTCCCTTCTCACAAAGATAACAGTTGTTGGGGAGGGTCTGCCCAGAAGCTAGAAGATACTTCAAGAGGTTTCTTCCCAGTGTCCCAGTTTTCCATACGACATTTGCCCATCCCCTGTCTGTGAGAGGAGATTGCTCTCCAAGTGCAATATCATCATCTTTACTTAGGATGGTGGTATTGTACCAGCATCCTAAGTGGTCTGAGGGTGAGGGCCAAGGGAGAGCTCAGGTATATCTGCAGTGGGTAGGAAGCAACATCAGGGTATGGTGGGCAGCACCCCTCTCCCCAGGGCTGAATGTGCCCTATACAGGACTAGTGGCTGAATACCCCAAGCAGGCCTGTGGGGTGGTGGAGACAGGCATCCCACTGTGCTGGAGAAGGAAGGGGAGGAAAAGCCTTATCTTTCCCCGTGGCTGCACAACACAGGACCAGAGGAACACAAGCACTGCCATTTCTCACTAGGCTTCCCCAGGCACATCCCCAGACTTCTAGAAGAAATTTACATCTCTGATTTAAGTCAGCTGAGTTAAGTGAATGTGATTAAAAATCCTTGTTAAATGTCAGGCTGATTTGTAGGTACTGAGATTAGCTGGACACGTGGCAACTTAGTGGGAAATCAACAGCTGATTACTTACATTTGAGTAAGCTACATTTTGTAGCATGTCGTTATGAGGACAGGAAGGAGAGAAACCAACCTCACCCACACAGAAGTGTAGTTTAGAAGTAGTAGTTTAACTTGCTAAAAAACCCCATGTTTCTAGGCAAGGATAAGGTGATCAGTGCCAGATGAATTTTATAGCGCAAGCTCTGTGTCCACTGGGAATAGATTGTATCAAAATAAACATGTGCAACCTTTCTTCTGGAGAGTCCCTGGAGCGAGCTGGCACGCTGCCTGAATTACTTCTTTCCCAAGCAACTATTCATTGTATGAATGAATGTGGGGGGGATGTTTGTGCTATACTTCTCCATCTGATAAGTAAGCCAGGGGTACACAGTTAATGCCTTTAGCCAGTCTTATCTTTCCGAAATACCACTTTTCCCACTTGTGGGTGTGTGTCTTTCTGTGCGTCTGTCTGAGTACCGCCCTGAAGGGAGTACGTGAGCCTTCTCCTTATTCCAGGTGGTTCCCGTCTTTTTGAGTGATAGCATCTTCACTCTTTGTTGATAATGACATTAATGAAGCTCCAAATGTAACTGTCACTGTTACTGGCAGCAGTTACATCATATGGTGGTGTTACCCATAGGTTTCCAAATTCTCTTTGTTAGCATGAAAGGATTGTTCAAATTTTGAGAAATTCTGAGGGACTGGGAGGATAACATAAAGCAAGCAGGTTGCACTAAGCACATACCTCAGCTCCATGCCATGGGTTTCTCCTGCAGGTGTAAGCCAGCATCTGGTGTGGCTCAGGAGAGGGATGACAGTACCGGTTCACAGCAGTTGTATATTCTGCCGTGTCTATTTTATTGAGAACAGTTTTAATTTCATAGGGTACTGGCAAACGCTGTTAGCAATGCTTACGATGCTCTGGAGATTTTGCCGTGTGAGCAAACAGAAGCAAAATGACAATTAGATATTGTCTAACACTAGCAACGGCACAGCAGGTCCAGAATTTCATGTCAGTCAGTGAGAAACCTTGTTTACTGGAAGCTGGCCATGAGTTGCTTTACAGATCTAGCCAAATCCTTGGCAGAACAGACCAGTTAAACCTGTTGCTCTCTTGTAAGTGTAGAGGCTTCCCGGCAGTGTAATTCCTTGATGGTTTATAAGGTGCAGCTGTAGGAAGCCCCTTTCTATTAGCTACATTGTGTGTCTCCAAAAGAGCGGGGGCTGATCAGTGCTGTTGCTGACTGCCCCATCCGCCCTCATCCTTCCTCAGAGCCACCCAGAGCTCTCGTCTCTATATTCCTGCTTTCTACTGGGAATCTGTTACAACCAGAGGAGGCTTTGGTGCAGCAGAAGACAACCTTCAGGGATTTGGAGAAAGCAACTTCTTCTGCTGACACTGTTTTGCATATCATACCTTAGATTCAACAAGGATGCACACAACAGAGCATTTTGAGCAGAAGTCTAGCAAAGAAAGACAGCAAAATCCTAAATGCTAACCCTGGCTGTATGACTGATGCCTTCTTTATTCTTGGATAACGTAGGTGAACATTTTGATTACAATAAGTAAGCAAATAACAACAAAACCCACTGAATTTTGTCACCACATTTTTGGCCAAATTATTTGAAAACACTCTTGTTGAGCTAGCAGTCTGATTCTGGGATTGGGTAAATAACCACCTAAAGTATTTGTAAGACACTGGTAAATACAATTTAGCTGGGTCTATAAATTTTCCTAGTCCAAAATACAGATTGCGATATGGCTGACTTGGCTGTTTTGCCAAGATATCTGAAAAAACATCTAAAAAACTACAAGGTCTTATTTGTAATTTTGTTCTGTATAATAGAATTCAGCAACTTAAATTTGCCAGTTGTAACTAAAAAAGCCAGTCCCTTGGCCTTCATGTTTCCTGTTTATGCTCCTCCATCAACAAGCTGAATGCCGGGAAGTAGTAGCTTTAACCTCCGGTCGGTGATCTGTGGCTTTAATTCCTCATTACTCTCATATTTGATAAAAAATTACAGGGTAGTTTCATGTTCTTAGCTAACTGTTGAGTAATGAGCAGGTGGAATACTGCTACAAGAGAACTAGTAGCAGAAGGAGGGAATTTATCCACTGTTCTTACTATCAATAAGTTTTCAGTCCTGTTATTTTGTAAAACGTTCTTCAAACAGACAAATTTATGTGTGACTCATGTGAAAAATACCACGGGCTTAAATAATGCCTAGCAACTAACTTCTGTCCTCCCCCCTCCAATTTTATTCGCCTTACATGTTGAGGACTCATTGTAGATGAGAAACATTGATTTTTGAAAACGAGTGTTATCATTGCTTGTCATTACACCGCCGCTTTGGCTTTGAAAATGCCGCTTTGACAATATCCAGGGTTTTTTAGCGCCATTGTGCTGCCAGTTCGGGAAGTGTTTGTGTGGGATTTGGCAGCACATGGCTTGCATGCTCTGACATGGACGCGAGGTGTTGTGAGAGGCTGCCGCAGCACAGGGCATCCTCCTCGGGCTGAAGCGGTTACGGCTCAAGCGTCGCTTTCTCATAAGGGCACAGAGCAAAGGAGGGTGGGCAGTGAGCTGGCGATGTGTTTCTGAGGATCTCAGCCTCCAGCTGGGCTGCTCTCATATTTTTCCCTTCGCTTTGCCTACACGCATTTACTTCCCAATTTACCGCTTTTTACTCTGTGGCTTTATGAACACAGCTTGTGCTCAGAGTATTTTCTCCTTACCGCTCAAACTGCCGGAGCAGTTGGACTATAAACCTGACGGCAGGTCACGACGTTTTGGTGAAGATTAGCAAAAAGAGTGATGGGGATGGGACGGTCCCCACGCTCGGTGTCGGCACCGCCAGGCAGCGCTCTGTCTGGGCTACGGGAAGGTTCTTCTACAGCTCGGCTTAGGCAGCAGGATTTATGAGGACACTTTGAATTTGGGGTGTAATTCGGTATAGTTACTACCATCTCTTTTGGCTTCAGGTCAGGGCCCACAAGGGAGGATGAACAGCCTCCCACTAGGATGCTCCACCTGAGGAGTCAGAGGCATCAGTGATGCTGGCTCTTGCACTGGGGATGGTTTTGGGGGGAACATGGGGATGATGAAAACACCTTTTCAACTTGGGCAGACCCCAGGGTTCATCCAGCCTGCAAGTTTTCAGAGAGTAACCTTTGCATGGAAAAATCCCCCAAGAAGTGGCTGGGTTTGTACTGTGCTGGTGGACTGTGTTGTGCCTGGGAGCCTTGATCCTTGGCTGGAGCCCCTAAGGCTAGCGTGGCGCTCAGGAGTAACATTATCCACAACGGATGTTTCCTAAAATCAAGGACTGTGGCATAAAGCACTGCTGACACATTTATCTGACCTGGATATCATCACTCTGTTATTAAAATGAAATAGAGGGACTCTGAGATTAACCTGCAAGTAGAGCTAACGAAATGACAATTCATAATGATTCTCGCATTCCTTCAACAGAAAAAACTGCTTAGACAATCTAATGGATGAAGATGAGAAAGACAGGGCAAAGAGGTGAGCACGTTTTCTTTTATAACTCTCTGTTTACCTTGTGATGAGCTTGATATTGTTTGTTGCTGCTGAAGCTGTTATATCCGTAATCAATTAATCAAAGAGAGAGAGAGTAAAATACAGCCAAGCACAACTTGAAAAACTGCCATCGCACAGATTCCTATTCTTGGCTACTCTGTAAGAAGAAAATAATGTAGCAATGTTTCCTATGGAAAATGTCAGAAAACCCAAGGCATTGATCGTTTTCCTCACGTTACTGCAGAACATGAGAACTGAAGAACCAACAACGTACTCCTGCTGGTATAATACATCATCTGAGCTTCCCAAGTGTATAAAAATGTGTGGGTTTTTTTTTAAAAAAAAAAAAAGTTGCAAAAGAAAAAGCAATAAAAAAGGCAGTTTTTCCCTATTATGATGGCCATATAATCAGCAATGCCTACCTCACAGTAACGAAAACACCCAGAAGTTATGTAAAGACCACGAGAAGTGCTGTGTCAGCCCTAAACTGGCACAAACTTTTATTTGCATACTTTCTGTGCTCCATCATCAAGTCCTGCTTGGCGGGAAATTGTTGTGAACACTTTGTAGGGAGGGGAAGTGTGTGTTTCAAGGCAGAAGACCTGTGACAATAAAATTCTTAATAACTGTCAGATCTGACTGGCATCTGCAGAAATACTGTTTGGAAGCATTTGAGGTTTTTGGGTTTTTTTCTGGATGCGTTATCAATCCTGCAGTCCACAGTTTAATTGCTTTAGAGGGAGCCATGGGTTGCCTGCATTTTTCCCCCATCAGTTCCCTCTAATGAGAGTATTTCCAGTCAAGGCACAACTAGTTGATCCAGTTTCATCTCTTTTGATTCCTTCTCCGCTTCTTTCCTCCCCGCAGCTTTTTCTCACCAATATAGGTCAGCACAGGCTGCAACCGAGCTCAACCGTTCCCCTTTGCTCCCTCCTCTTCACGCGTGCGTGACTCAGGCGGCAGAAGGCTTGTCTTTCCTACCAAGAGCAAAGCGCTGAGCCAACTGTCTCCCCTGACCACTGCGAGGGGTGATCCGCTGAGGCCAGGGGTCTGCCAGTCCCCAGAGCCTTGCTGCTGCCCCTCTTCACTGGGGGCTTCACAGGCGTGAGAGGGATGACATGGGGTACGGCTCTGCGTGCAGCTCTGTCCAAGCATCAGTCAACCAGGCAGACACCTGGGGCCAGGGGAGTAGGTGGATTTGGGGAAGGGATGTCTCCCGAGAACCATAGAATACCAGGTTGGAAGGGACCCGAAGGATCATCTGGTACAGTCTATCTTGGCAAAAGCACGGTCCAGGCAAGATGTCCCAGCACCCTGTCCAGCTGAATCTTAAATGTGTCCAATGATGGGGAATCCACCATTTCCCTGGGGCGATTATTCCAATGGCTGATTGTTTTCATTGTGAAAAATTTTCCTCCTGAATCGGAATCTCCACAGGAGTAACTTGTACCCATTACCCCTCGTCTTTTCCATGTGACTCCTGGTAAAATGGGAATCTCCATCTTCTTTATAGCCACCTTTTAAATACTGGAACGTGGTGATAAGGTCTCTCCTAAGTCTTCTTTTCTCAAGGCTGAACAAACCCAGTTCCCTTAGCCTTTCCTCATATGGCAGGCTTCCCAGTCCTTTGATCATCCTTGTGCCTCTTCTTTGGACCTTCTCCAGCCTGTCCACATATTTTTTTGCGTAGCGAGGACCAAAACTGGACACAGTATTCCAGGTGTGGCCTGACAAGCGCTGAGTAGAGTGGGATAATGACTTCTTTATCTCTGCTGGTGATGCCCTCGCTGATGCACCCCAGCGTCCTGTTGGCTTGCTTTGCCGCTGCAGCACACTGTTCACTCGTATTGAGCTTGTTGTCCATCAGGACCCCCAGGTCCCATTCCACAGAGCTGCTGCCCAGTCAGGTACCTCCCAGCCTGTGCTGCACTCCTGGATTATGTTTTCCCAGGGGCAAGACCTTACACTTGTCCTTGTTAGACCTGGCTCCTGGGAGAGGGTGTAGCACAGCGGGAGGTGTCACACTTCCCCAGACACCCGGGATCAGGGAAGGAGGTAGCAGGGAAAGGGAGCCCACCTTGCATCGCTGCCTCACACCCTTACGGCCTGGTTATCTTCAAGATATTTGTGTGCTAATTGTTTAAAAAAGAATGCATTAAATAAATCTGTCTAAGACAAAAATAGGATAACACGTATCCTCGCTATCAGCGATTGTCATCACCATCTGGTATGGTTTTCATGCCGTTTGTTCCTGGAGGGAATTTTTGTCATACCCTGGGGCAGGCCTCTATCAAGGTGGATAAAAAAGAAATTATAACTTTGAAAAGATAAAAAGGAAGCTGCTTCTTTAAATTGTAATTTAAGTACATTTTGCTTTTTAGAAATAAATCTAAATTTGAAATTAAGTTTGAAATCATGACAGGCTTCAAAAAGGTCTAAAGTTACTACAGTAATAAAAAAATTAAAAAACCTAAAACCGTTCAGACTCATTTAAAAGCTACATTTTTTTCTTCCAAAGCTTTAAAGAGAGTCAAACTTGGGAGAAGCCATTGGCTGAATATTTTGCTGTTGTGTGTTGAAAGCCGAGGACTCTCATCTGTCCTGTGCTGCAGGGGAAACGCTTTCTTTGTTTTCTTCTGTTCCATATAAGGACCAGGTCCCTCAGTGCTGAGAAACACAAGACGGGGTAAAAAAGCAAAGAAAATTGTTCTCTTCTTTCATTTTCTGAGTAACAAGTAGGAAAGAATGGAACTTTCTGGATCTAACTCTTTGGGGATGGACTTAAGCCAAGAGGTGGGTTTCTAAGGTTAGACACACACACACACACACACACACACACACACACACACACCCCCCCCATTCGCTATCTGCTGCAATTTATTAGGCACATACAGGTTGTATTAGACAGACATGAGAAGAGGATCTATCCTGTCCTAAGGAGAGGCACCTGCACTCCCACCCTTGGGCCAAATGTTTAGCATTTGGCCAAGATGTATAGCTCTTCCTTCATGACACCGGTCACTTTAAGCCCCGTTCTGCATCCTCTGACTCCCTAAGGCACTACGTCGCTCCAAAGACCTGAGGACTAAAATGTGGATGTGATGGCACCATACATGGGAGCATCGAAGAACTCTTTGAGGTCTTTTGATCTTCTGGAGATCAGAAACCATCATTTAATTTTCTGTTCTTTAATGCTAGACAAGGTTTGTTCTGTTTTATAAATTTACTCATTTTCAAAAAAAACCCCCATGGTTTGTGCACTTTTTTTCTCTATCTGCTTCTCTTTTCATTTGCTTTAATAGTAAATTATTTTAATTTTTATTTTTTTTCTGCAATTCAATTGAATTCCAAATTCCAACCAAAACCAGCGCTTAATAAAAGAGGACTGCTGCTTGCCATTTTCCACTCCAATAAAAAGTAAATTTAAGAACCTGAATGAAGGTATGTGATGCAGTTACTTGCTTTGACGCATATATAATGTAACCCACTGGACAGCAAACAGAAATATGAAATCTAGTGTAAAGTCACATTTCATTGTAAATCAGCAAGATGTAATGGCTACTAGTCAGCAAGTATCAGTCTGTCTTTAAGACAACAAGCAGCAAATACGCAAGAGAATAAAACTGGCTATTTAGAACACATTTTAAATGGGTGATTTTGATCATTCTGAATTCAAGCTGTCCTATATTGCCTTTAGCTATATTCACTAAAAATCCAGATTTTTTTCAGACTGCGTCTCCTTCTTCCCCTTGGATATGCCGTATTTTTTTTGAGTAGCAAAAAGGGAGAACTGGGACAAATAGTATGGAATTAAGACAGAAATTGTTTTGGCTTACTGTAAATGATATGCCCTAGAAGTGAAGTAAGCAAGGCTAGGGAATAATCTTCCAAGGGAAGTGATGAAAACTGCATTATTTAAGACATTACAACTGGACTGAACAAAGCGTATACAACTGGGCAGGGATAGTTTAGATGACCTAATTGCGGGGGGGCGGTTCTCATTTCTTTCCTTTTTCAAATTTTACTGTGATCATTGATTCAGATCTTCGTAGAGTTATTTCCACTAGATGAGTTTTTATATTTCCTTTGTGAATAAAATGTCAAGTGTTAAAAATAGATACTCTATATTTCTGTTGAGGCATCTTTATTTTTTGGGAAAAAGCAACATTTTCCCTATAGATGGCTGGTGTTTTATTTTATTTTCAGGGACATCAAGACCCTTTGAGCTTAAAATGAACTGAGGATTGAATTATGAGGAAGTAAAATGTTGATGTTCTTAACGTCTCCTTGAACTGTACAGAAATAGGATAAGGCTGGAGCTTTTCACATCTTGTTCTGACAGCCTTTTGCACTGTAATAGGAACAGGCTGAAATCAGTGAGGCAGTATCCACCCAATCTCTTGTGTTCAAAGCTGTAAAATAATCAAGCGTTGGCTTCTATCCAGCGTATCTCCAAGTGTGTTCAGGGTTGAGAGCAAGACAAACAAAAATTACCCCTCTGTCAGTAGTAACATCCAGAAACCCCTGCAGTGATTTCTCTGCTGAAAATGTTTATTGCCATCCTGGTCCTTGGGGGGGATGTAGATGCTGGGCTAAATTCTGCTCTGATTTTCAGCAGCATGCATCCAGAACCACTTGTGAAGTACAGCAGAGTTATCTGGGACTGAGAAATTCAGAGTGAGAACCATCCTCTTGGCTTTTCTTTCCTGTCTATGTGTAACCAGATTTTTAGATCTTTATGTAATTAACAAGGCAAATTTGTCTGCTTGAGGACCTCTTAGAAGAGCAAACAAACCTTCTGGGTTATATTTATTTCTATTTTCACACGGCTACAGAAGTCTAGGTGATACTCTCTGAGTAGTATCATCGTATTCAATTCAGAAAACGCTTGTGTATAGGTTGACATATAACTTAAAGAAAATAAAGTGCACATGCTGAAAAGATTATCGACAGCCTTAATGACAGCATTATGATGGTGCCAAAACTCCCCAGATGAAATCAGGTCCTTTCTTCCTATGAGCTCTTCAAACACAGCAGCAGAAGTAGGTCTCTCTGAGGAGTCTGCAAGCCGAACAGGTAGTAGTTCAAAGAAAGCTGTAGTATCCCCGTTTTAGACATAAAGGATCGGGGCACCGTGACCTTAATCGACTTGCCCAGTGGCACACAGAGACCAGGGGCAAGCAGGGAATCCCTGCTAGCTCTTCTGAGCCCCCAGGTTTGGGAACACATCCCAGTCTCAGACCTGCTCCATACTGGGATGACACATGCTGATGCCCTCTCTCCTGCTTACCCTTGTCACCTTGGAAAGGAGACTGAACTACGTGGCATGTGAACTAGATGGGAGCTGCAACAACCTCTGCTCAGGTCCCTGATCTTAATGACTGGAGACAACAGCCCAATTCCTCTCTGTAAGCCAGCTTGGAGTTAGCCAGAGGACCTGTGACCAAAGCAGGCAGGTCCCACTCGGTGGACCCACCTCCAGTACAATGGCTGAGCTGCAAGACCAGAGTTCCTCCCTCCAGTTAAGACTCCACAGATGGGCATGACCCATAGTTTTACCAGTCCCCACTCTTCTCCTTTATGGACGATTTTACTGTTGTCACAGTATTCCTACTTCTTCTTGCTCTGAGCACCTCCTCAGAGGCTGCATGAACTTTCAAGATCCTGGGCATGTCTTGGAGATGGACAGAGCTCCTTCACCTACAGGCTTAATGCCGAGCTGAAAGGCTTGACCGGAGTGTCTAGAGGCAGCACAGAGGGGTGAGCAGAGCCTCCATCTCCCTGCTGGGCTGTAAGGGGGGCCCGAAGACAAGAGCAGGACATAGGAACAGTCTCCTCCTGCTTATCTTTGCAGCTTTGCTGGAGGCCACTGTCAATCTCCACACACCGAGACACACAGCAAGCTAATTTCTATGTGTATACATTGCAAAGAGCAGGTACATGATGATTTTTCCTCTTGGTCTGCTCATTCTTTTTCTTTTTAACCTGTCTACAGGGCTTCGCGTAACAAGTCTGAGAAGAAGAGGCGCGATCAGTTCAATGTTCTCATCAAAGAGCTCAGCTCCATGCTTCCAGGCAACACTCGCAAAATGGACAAAACTACTGTGCTGGAAAAAGTCATTGGCTTTCTGCAGAAACACAATGGTAAGATTTACTGCAGCTCTTCATGCACTTGCCAGACGGTTACTACAATATCCTGTTTCCTTCAGTGATTATCAGAATGGCTCAAGGGGCCTAAAAATGCCGACATAAGGTGGTGGGGTTTTTTCTGTCTCATCAAAAAAGATCATTTGCAGGCACTGTGCTGCCCAAATCCATCTCTTTAGCTGCTCTTTAGTTGAGGATGACTCTCAACCTGCTAGAGAAGGGGGCGAATGTCAGGAACCGAGGGAAGGCGAACAGCAGTGCCCTGCAGCACCTGTGAAGAAGAGAAATGCTTTGAACAAGAGAGATTTGGGGCCGGAGGAAAGATTCCCTTCCTTGAAATTTGCAGTATTCTGAGCAGAAGAAGAAAGCATTCGCCCTGGCTTCACTGCAGAAAAATGCAGGGAAGCCATCCCTGCAGCTCCTCACTGGACTGTGCAGGACTCAATTTTCTACAGTAAGCAGAAATCTCAGACCAGAAAAGACCACAATTTTTGAAGTTGCTTTCAGCAAATTGCATCCACAGCTAGCTGGTGTGCTTCACCCAGTTTGCACAAGCAGAAGCTACGTCACATTTGCACAGCGTGCAGTTGCAATAGCAAAGTTCAGCCTCAGAAAGCAGGAGTTTAGTTTTTTTTTAAAATGCACACAGCAGTGACAGCTAAGCCCCTCACACGTATGCCCTCACAGAAGGCAGAGGAGATTTCTGACCCTGCTGATCTATTCTGGTTGGTCTAGTTTCCAGTCAGTGAGAGGAACTTGTGCTGTGGGCTCCCTGGCATGTGGACATCCACCAGCAGTGGCCAATTGAAATGCTCCTCTCTTATAAATCAGGGCAGTGGTTTAAAACGGGGGTCTCTTGTTCTGCCCCAGTGAAGAAGAGGCTTCAGCAGGTGACCGTGGGGAATGTCCCCGGTCCTGCAAAGCAGAAAGGGCTCTTGTAAGCTGATGCATCACATCACCAGGCTCGCCTTCCTTCATCCAGCACCTCCTATCCTCGCTCCCCAGAGAGCTGTGGGTGAAACGGAAAAGAGCATGAAAACTCTTATATCATGACTCCCAACGTAACAGAGTCACAAATGTCAAACTTATTGAGGAAATAATTATAGTGGTACTGTTGTTAGAGTGCAGTTTCTCCTTAAATGAATTTCTGCCACAGACAAGATGATTTCATACAGGAGGGCACGACTAGGACATCTCAAAGTTTAATAATTGCATACACCTATTAAAAAATGACAGTAATAACATATCTTTTTTTTTTTTTAGCTGCCCAAGGCAGAGTAAAGGAGGATGCGAATATGCTCAGTTATAAAGCCAAGCAAAGAACGATCATATGAGGTTTGAATAAGTGTAGAGAAGTGTAGCTGATAGCCCAAATAATTTACTCCAAAAAGCACTTCATTTCTGGAAGAACAGCTAGGTAAAAGAAAGCTAACAGTCACAAATCCTTCCGCAGCAATTGGGTCAAACAGGGACTGGGTTTTGTGCACTTGCTAAAATAAGCAAATGGTATCTATTTTTAAACTAGATTAGTAGTCACACAATACAATATAAACCATCAGTGTTTAAAAATGTTGATTATCTTCAGCATACTTTGGATCTGGTTTATTCAATCGTGTTTCCCTTTTATTTAGTAGGCTAAACCAAGATTTTAGTTATAATGGAGGAGGAGGTCAATTTTCAGATTTTTTGCTTCATAAACAGCCGCCTCCTTTATAATCCAGAGAATCTCCCAAATCTCAAGTAATTCTAACAGTCGCTCTTTCGTGTATATCAGCTTTTCTAAGCTATGGATCTGCTGAAAGCATCCTATATTCTGAGACTATATAATGAAAAGCTGATGGGGGCTGATCTCTTTTTTTCCTTACCCTGTTTTTGAAATCTCTGTATAAGACCATGGGGGCTGTGAGCAGCCCCTGTGCTCTCAGTGAAAGCCCCCAGCAGTGCAGAAAGCGAGTCGAACGAGCTGGTAGAAGCAGACGGTGACATCTCCACTAATAAAGCCCGAATGGAGGCTTTGATTTCTTTCTTGGTGACAATATGCACAGGCACTGGTATAAATTTACTGTCTTTAATATCATTTAGCCATTTGCATTTCTCTGGCCAGTTTGCCTATGTGCTCCGAATAGGGAGCATTGGGTATTACATGCTCTGGAAGTGTTAATCAATAGGATTAATTAGCAGGCGGCGCCGAAAGGAGAAGACAGGCTGCGCTCAGCATCGCCCCACTACTAGTGCTGAATGAGGGAGCACTCTCAGCCAAGCGGAGTGAGCAGTGAACAAAACCAGTGCAAGTCTCTCTAAATTCGAAGATCCATCCCCTATAACACTGTCTGACGAGCTTTTTAATGCGTTATTCGGGTAGAGCTAACACGGGTGGCTGTTTTTTGAATGAGACGGCTCATCGTGGTGCGTCCAGCTGCCCCTGGTTTCAGTGCAAAGCTGTGACTCGTTACCCCTGTGCGCCTGCACCCCTCCACGGAAAGCCCTTGGGGAGCAAGCGACCTTAGGCTGCTGCTGGGCCAGGTTTGGCCAACGGCGGGGCAAAAACTCCCATGGTGTCTTACACGGCAGGGACGTCCTCACGGGCTGAGAGCACAGGAAACTCTCCTCTCTGGGCAGGATTTAGGATGAGGTGCTAGTGGTCCGCTGCAAGGCTGGTGCAAAAGCTCATTTTGGAGAAGAGAGCTGTTTGGGGTCATGGCCCTTTGAGGTTCCTCTGAAGGAGTTTTCTTGCTGCTCCCTATTTGGCACAGAAGCTGTAGCCCGAACCCTAGCTCTCTGGCATCCTCATTTGGAAGCTGTAAATCGTAAATATCAATTTGACACGTGCTAATCCCTGCCTTGATTTTAATTTCGTGCAAAGTGGTTTTATCTTTTGATCAATATGTAAGTAATGCTGATTGAGGCCAATGGTTATGTGAATACAGGTTCCCACTGCGGTCAGTTCAATCTGAGCGGTGTAAAAAATGAGGAAAACATTGCAGGATCAGGCTCAGTTTAGATAGTTGTTACTGTCTCTGTATGCAGAACCCATGCTTGAAAACTGAAATTTCTTAATACAAAGGTGATTTCTATCTTTTCATAGCAAATCATAATAGGCTTGCAAGATACAAGTTTTTTTAAATTTTAAAAAAATGAAATGTTTTATTTGTCTAGAAGTCTCGGCACAGACGGAGATTTCTGAAATTCAGCAGGTTTTTTTTGGACTGGAAGCCTTCATTTCTCAGCAACGAAGAATTCACCCAGCTGATGTTGGAGGTGAACATGCTTATATACCTTTCCTAATTTTGTCTAGCAGTCATGGAAATGCCAATGCGTCTAGAACAGAATGTCATCTGCAGTTCCAAAAGGTACTGCTGTATTTGACTGTCAAGCAGAGCTGTCACCGGGACAAGGGATTAGAGTCCCCACATGTTGCTTTTCCCTCTCGGCGGCTGCCGCAGCCTGCAAAGCTGCGTGGGGACTCCCAAGAAATGCAACTCAGGGGAGAGATTCAAATCACAGGTTGCATTTTATTTTTACAAACAGAGGTGAGGAAAAGGGCACGCGGCAGTTTTCCCTCCTGTTCTTGGAAGGCGTTATTATTACTTAATATTTATGCAAGACTCACACCTAAAAAGCAACAGAGTCGCATCCCTCTAGTGCTAGGTGCCGTACAAGCAGATAAAACCTGACGGCTCCTCTTGGTTTGATACAGTTAATACTTCCACTCCAATGATTTTCAAGGCCCTTATCAAACACTTTTTATTCTAACAGGAGCAGGGTTATTTTGCAGCGATAGTTTTTAAATTACCTTTAAATTATACTATAGGTGCTTTTAATGCTAGCTGGGATTTGAAGGGAGGTGACTCAATGGCATTTATGTAGGTTCAAGATGAAATGCAAATGAGCTGCTAAAATGTATTTTTCTCTCTCGGTAAGCAGCTAGAACCTTCTTTAGCAAGGATTTTCTCCCATACTAAACATGTGGAGGTTGCATTGCCCCATAGCATCCTTTGAGAACAAGCTTTTCCTCTTCCCACAAATGATGTGAACATGGGGCATGATCCAGGCTCTGGCCACAGGCAAAGAGGGATGTTGGGGGAGCAGCCTGACCCACCAAGGGGTGGCATGAGGCCGTGGCATGTTGCTGTCCCCCAGGGGCTGGTGGCCCCTCGGCCTTTGCAGTTTGTTGTGATGAGACCCCCTTGGTTCAGCGTGAAGAGACGCTTTGCTCATGTTGCACCATCAACCCCCCATTCCCATCTCAGTGCACGGGAACTTAACGTACAGAACTCCTGCAGTCTGCAGTGAAATATTTCCCTTGGATAGCAATAAATTGGCAGTTGTCCCAAGTAGCTGGGCCTTTGTTGATTCTACTTGTATGCCATACAATTTTAGATTAAAACAGTTGCTTTCAGTTTCCCAGCTTATAAATCACCTTCTTGCTACTGTGATTTTCCATGCCCTTCAAGATAACATTGGGTATAGGGATGTCCTGTTGAGCCAGCTGTTCATCATTCTCTTTTTTTTTTTGCCTTTCTACTAATCTTATTTTATTAACATTTGGACAAGACTGCTTGAAGTTTTTCCTGTCCTGTTATTAAAAGATGGGAAGGTTTTTTTCAAGCACCAGTTCAAAAGAGGCAGAGCATAATTGACTGTGATAATACATCAGCTTTCCTGAAAATGGCCTTTTCTTACCCCATTGAAAAGGCTGTCATCACATTACATAGCGGTGGGTATTAGGTTATGTTTGTCCATCTAGAACTCTTGCAGTAGCGAAATCTTTGAAGAGGGATATGCCATCTTACTGTTGGAAGGACCAGTTGTGAGTAAATAAAAATAGAATTATATGTGCACACATTAACTTGATTTTACCACAAAATTCTGATGTGAGTCACTTTGTATAATTTGCATTGGATATGAAATAAAGACTTGATTTAAAAAAAAAAAAAAACAGACACCTTCACCATAGTAACATGCACAATCCAGCTGCCTTGTAAAACCACTGCTCTCTTCTATGGGTTAACAGCTATCAAGCTTTTTCAGAAAACAGCTCAAATGTACTGCACTAAAGAAAAACATATTCTCTGCACTTAGATTAACAAAATCAAACTAACTATAGCAGCTGGAGGGTTTTCAGAGATGCTAAACACACGCTATTCTACTGGGGTATAAGTTATTGACCTGCTTTTCAAAGGATTGTAGCACCAGCAGATTCCCATTGACTTAAATAGTTGTGGGTGCTCAGCGTTCTCTGGAAAAAGGAACATATGTTTGTGTCTTTATTCAAGGCTTTGTGTTTTCCTTTTTTTTTTTTTTTTTCTTTTTGAAAAACAATTAGCATTTCCCAGTGTTCTCAGAATTCTTTCCCTTATTGAAGTCAGCGGGGGAGCAAGGATGTGCTGCGGCTCACAGGATCAACTGCGAGCCTGGCTCGGAGGCACGCCTTGGGTTTGCAGTAGGGTTTTTGTAACGCCGTGGCACCCTGTTTGCAGTACACCTGTCTCCTGACCAGGTGTTGCCTCTGGACCATAGTCGAACTCTGCTCTGATTCAGTGGTGCTTGCGGGGCCCGTACTGCTCACATACTGCAGGCAACGCTGGCTCCAGATCGCTACCTAGGAAATCTACCTAGATTTAACTTTGAACAAGATTTAGCTCAAAACTTTGCAGCCCAGACTAAAGAAGAAACTAATTTTGAAGGTGAAATTGCTGTCGTGCAGAGGATGGGGATAACGCTGACGTTCCACTTCAGTCCTAGGAGTGAAAGCGCTTACCGCAAGGTGGGATGGAAGTGAGGAAGAAATTCTGCAGAAGGGTGACTTTCTCTTGGAATGAGTTATCTAATACCATGACCTTTAAAATAAATCACTCAATTAAAACTCTGGCTAAGGATTATTTGATCATTTGCATTGCTTTTACTTACATGAAAGCCCAGTAATATACAATGTTGCATTAATACAAACTGAGATTTATGGGGTTTGCAGAGAAGTACCATTTTGAGATAGGACCGCATCCTTTCATCGTCCTTTGATATTTACACAGAGCTCAAATGTTCATTTTAATAACTTCCAAGGGATCCAGTCTTAGTCATTTTGCATTATTAAAATGTGTGATTAATTTAAAAACTGAGACATGAAATGTTCCTGTGAGCCCTTTGTTGCTTCAATAGTAGGTTTTACTAGACTACAAAGAGTGTTGTAAAAGTTAAATCAGACTGTGAAATCAGAGAATTACTGTTCTGCAAGCTGAGATAACATTCCTACAACTCGATAACAATATGGTCCTGAAGTCAAACAGTTTGGATCAACACACGATGAGATGTCCTGTGTACACCCCTCGTCCCTGTTAAAACACTCTCCACTTGTCTGTTTTCCTTAGGCATTAGATGGCTTCATTATAGCAGTAACCACAGGTGGAAGCATCATCTACGTGTCTGACAGCATCACACCTCTTCTAGGGCATTTACCGGTGAGTAAGTCTGATGCTGGCTTTTCTACTACGCATCGTAGGATCGGGCCCTGCATTTTTAGAAACAGATGTAAAAAGGGTGGTGAGTGGGTGGCATTTTCCTGAAAATGCGGTGAGGAGTTTCGTCCCTGCGTTATGCTGTGCGCTGCTGTTGATCAGCTCTGTTCTCTCTCCGCTTGATTCATACCCTTCAGGTTTTTGTTGCTATGAGCCACTCCGGCTTGAATGGAAAAAGCTCTGCGGGAATACTCCGGCCAGGGGAGGGACAGGGTGACCTGCCTGATCCTTTTCCATCTCTGATTTCTAAGCTAGCAGAGAATAGCACCAGTGCTGCTGGTGGCCCAGCAAGGAGCTTGTTAAGGGTCTTATTCTGCTCCCAGGGAGGTAAAGGACAAAACCCCCGTTGAATTCAGAGGAGTGGGAGTTAGCCGGTGGCCGCGGCCGAGCTGCCCCCGCAGCTCAGTTGTGCTTTCCCAAGAGGAAACCTCCCGGGAGGTGCTGGTGGAGCCAATGCTCGGCGCTTGGGTCCGGCACAAAGGGCTTGTTTCTTCTGAGGCTGTCGGCTCGTGCTGTGGGCGACACTCCTGCGTGCGCTGGCTTGGGCTGGAGGAGCAGGGGAGAGGGACTGCTCCAAACCCTGTTGCTAAGGCTGCTGTAGAAGAAATAGCACAATAATTAAGGATTAATCCTCACGCTCATTTTTAGTAGCTTGGTCTCAAATAAATACATGCCCAGGAGGAAAAAAAAAAAAAAATAGCTGCCAAATCATTATTGTACCACCACCCCCTGCCATGTTCTTAGGAAAATTACAATTCTTTTTCTCCCGTTTACTTTTTCACCAAACACATGTTATGTTTTCCATCCAGACAAATGTATTTCACACATGCTACCTTGCTGTAATACGAACAAAAATTATTTTCTTCTGAGACGAAAGGAACTTGATGAAAGGCGGCAGCTCCCTGTAAACGCAAGAATATTGCTATGCAACAACAAATTGAACTGAATCTATCTATATCAGTTTTCTTTAATCCTCAACAGTTGAGAAAACCAGTAGTTGACTATTTTCTGATATTTGCCTTCACTTCAAAGGCAGAGAAAGCCCTTGTCCTCCGTGCAGTCTCTTGGGTCCTCATTCACTTACTGATTTCCATGGAATTTCTTATTCTTTCATGGTTTGGGGGTTTTATTGCTGTCCCTTCCAAATGCTGATTTTTAGTGGAGACATCAGATCTGCTGTGGGAAAGTACTGCTCTTCAGGAAGACACATTTCGGACCCTGTGCCTAAAACCTTAAGCCCTGGCTGAACATGGATGGATTCAGGTTCATAATTCCTGAGTTGGACCACCAGGGACTAAATTGGTTTTCCATCCCTAGGTCATGCCTTGTGGGATAAACTTTGCCCAAAACCACGACAAGGATGACCCTTATTTTTTATTTGCACAGAAGCAGTACATAGCAGCCTGAGCCAGGGACCACACTGCCGGGGATGGAGGTGGGGCAGGAGTTCCCACAGACCTTCTCCGAGCTTATGGAGTGATAATGGTTGACAACTTCCCCACCGGCCCATGCGTGCGGAGTGACTGGGTGCATCCCAGAGACCACAACTGAGCAAGCAATAAGGGCTTCTGCCTGCCCGAGGTTGGCAAATCTCTACGGCCGTGGGCAGGGGCCCAGCTGAGTGTGCAGTCAGGTGCACACTGGGCATTTTAGTCTCGTGCTGCCCTTTCCATATGTCTTCTTAAGTTTTAGAACTGATCAGAGTGCTATCTGGAAAATCTGTGATGTGGCTTACTTTGCTTACCTCCAGGATCTATTTGTAAGCTAAATTCAGTCACTGTTTGAGGGACAAAACACCAATTCTTTCTCCTCTGAGGCTGCAGGGAAAAAAGGTATTCTGCAAAGCTTCTGCTTTGAGCACTGAAAGGGAAGCAAAACTGGGCAGAACACTGAGCAGAGCTCTCTGAGGGCCCCTATCAAGAAATCTGATGTATTTTTTTTCATTAAAAACATGAAAGACTCTGGTGCTGAGAACAAATATATCCAATTCTCTTTAATATAGCTTCCCTAAGTTCCGTGGAGTATTTTCAAACACAAACTTCCTCTGTTGTAATTCTAAATAGTTTGTTATTACAAGATCTGGAGGCTACTCCTAGGGTCGGTTGATGTAAAGAGAGGTTCGGCCCACACGGTAGGGTTGACTGGAAGTGAAGTGAAGTGAAGTGAAGTGAAGTGAAGTGAAGTGAAGTGAAGTGAAGTGAAGTGAAGTGAAGTGAAGTGAACTCCTGGAAATCTGGTAGCATACTCATAGCATTTGCCAGTCAGATGGTACGATACGACCCCAAGGCTATGCAGGTCTCTGGAGGAGGGTCCTCCCTGTCCCTTCTTGCCTGCTTTGCTGAGTGAAACAGTTAGTTAAACACAGGCAGCAGAGTGACTATTTCCAACCTGCAGGAGAAGATGCAGCTTTCTCGTGGAAGTGTCCTGTTCACGGAGTCAGGCAGAAGGTGCTGCACCTGCTCAGGGACTGGGAGAGCGGTGTCCATCTCACCCAGCTTTAGTCTCATAGTCGAGGGGTCCACACTCAGCACCTGTCCACATGATGATCCACAAGGGCTGGTGGGGACGTGGCTCTGCAAAGGCAGGAGGTCCCTGGCAGGGCTGAGCTTCTCCATGGAGGGGTGTCTTTCTCCCCAGGGGCTCCCCAGTGAAGCTCAGGCAGCCGCTCTCCTCTGTTGGGCACTTAGGTTAAACATCAGGGTGGAAAAATCCAGGACATAGCACCTTAGAGTGTACAAAAGTTATGCATGATGTGTTGCTGTTACAGGATAGCAATGGGCACCAGTGTAGGAGATACAGATTGATACAGGGGCCAAATCCCAGCACACAAGAGCAGAGCCATGTCGTTTTTTTGGGTTGATGGGAAAGAAGCCCGCCTCATTTGCAGCCCTCCACCTTCCCATTCCTGTGACCAAGCCTTCCCATTCCTCGGTTCCCCTGCCGCAGGAATAACTCATCATATTTCCTCCTCACCACCCCAAAAAACCAATGAAAAGGTGAGGAAGAAGCTCCATTTTGGAGTATGGCTGCTTTGTTGAAACTGCACAGATATTTAAGCTGTACATCAAATGACTGCAGAACTTGTGGCAAATTTACTGTGTATTGTTTTTAGAATGGACCGACATCTATGTATGCAAAGCTGTTGTCTCTTTGCCTGCTGTAGCTATCAGGGGTGAATACTCAGAAGTTTCTGCTAGCGGTATCCACAGATTCCGAGGTGCAGAGTAGATTCCAAGCTTAGCAGCATAAATACACATTAACATAGTTCATCTAACCACTCTACCCACAGTCATTGTAATTTATCTTTTATCCGCTTTCCCTGTCTCATTCAGCAATGCTTTGTGGCTGTGGCTGCCAGCGGGGCAGAACTGCCCACTGCAGAATAATTAGAATAATTAGACAAAGCTGCAAACTGTTCCCCTCCAACCGATGCATTTTTTTGTCTGCGATGATCAAATTTTGTCCATCTCTCTGGTCACCTTTTTGCCATGGCACCAGATGGCTGCTCTTTGGGTCTGGTGCAGAACTAACACTGAATAGCTTGCCTGGCATCTCCTACAGCTCCAGTGAGACCATGGAATATTTGCTTCCTTCTCGCTATTTGACCAGTCAATATATTCTTGATTAACATATTGATTCAAGGACATTGGAGTCTTGATACATACAAGATCCAGAAATTCCGTTCCGTGCGCTGCTTTACAGGTGTGCCTAACCTCTGCAGGAGGCAAGACTTGTGAAACACAGTAAGAAGTAGATACTTTATCAACTTTTTCATGCTCATTTAAAAAAAAAAAAAAATGGCATTCCCTAAGAGAAAAGATGAAAACCAAATGTTAAATTCTGGATATGGTACATAATGGCAGTAAAAAATATAAATGCCAGGACTTGCAAATCAATGAATAGCTGGTGCTCAGGGCAGGAGGTTGCCCTGTGGAACTCAGTGTGTGGAACAAAAGTCTTGTAACTCCTACCATACACATAGTCGCTGGCCTCTGCGGCTATCTCTTTAAATGGAAACGACACTGCAAAAAACTGATAATAGGTTTTGAATCCCAGCTCGGTCACAATAGGAAGACAAAAGGTGGCACATCCTCAGGTCACTGAAGAAGCAATAACGTGTTTGAGGAGCGGTGACAGCTCACATCTAGTCCTCCTGCACCTACTGCTGAGTGGATGTTAATTAACCCCCATGAGACTTATGTGAAGCTGGTGGATAAGTATCATTATCTACCATTTACACGTAGAAAGGGAATGAGAAGGAAAAATTACTTTTCTGAGGTTGTACCATAAGGACTCACCACTGCATTTTCCCATCAGGTGTTCTTTCTTCATATGCCCAAAACTACGTTAACAATGTACTATATTTTGTGTGAATATAAATGTAATGTTTATATACCTATCTATATAAACTGAATTGCACGCAATATCAGTAGGATGCATATTATGAGGTATATAGTAAAGTCACAAAAAATGTTTTCAAGTATTCATTACAAAAGGAATCTCCAAATAATGAGCACACGTAACACTTACAATTGAATAATCTAAAGTAATATATTATTGCATCAAGATAAGTGTATAAAGCACGGCACTCTGATTTTCAAAGTATACTCAACGCATTTCACTACTCTAAACAGGAATTCCACCCACAACAGCAGGCATGGGTGGAAAGCAAAGGGAAACCAAAGCACAATCTTAAGTAAATACATAAATAAATGATGATGATTAATAACTCGCCAGTCTCATACAGGGCTAACACATTTTTAACACAACTATACAGTCTGATAGCAGCTGCTCTGATGACACATGAAGCTGTGTTGATGTGCCAGCTCAGCCCAAGGTAGTCTCAAGTGGGATGGATGTAAGTTAATGCCACTAGAGGGTCATTTTATCTCAAGTCTTCCTTTCAAATACGCTCTTGTACCGTTAGGTTAGTCACCGTGCTGAACACAGTGACACCTTTCTCTTGGCAACCCTGAGGCAGACTCTTTGTCTTCTGCGCCCTGGGCTGGTCGTGGCCTTTTGCACAAATCCATTTCCTCTTTCCTTTGCCAAATCTCAATACCTAGATTTCTGATATAGGAGAGCCGGGGAAGGACTTTTGACAAGGGCATGTAGTGATAGGACGAGGGGGAATGGCTTCAAACTGGAAGAGGGTAGATTTAGATTAGATATTAGGAAGACATTTTTCACTCTGAGGGTGGTGAGACAGTGGAACAGGTTGCCCAGAGAAGCTGTGGAAGTCCCACCCCTGGAGGTGTTCAAGGCCAGGCTGGATGGGGCTTTGAGCAACCTGGTTTAGTGGGAGGTGTCCCTGCCTATGGCAGGGGGGGTGGGACTCGATGATCTTTAAGGTCCCTTCCAACCTAAACCATTCTACAATTCTATGATTTTCCAGCTCACTCCCAGATCTCCTCATTTAATTGTATGGACGTACCCGATGCATCTGATGGTCTCTGAGAAACATTAGGGGAGCACCCCTGAGTGCTGAGAATTGACCCGAGAACTGGCCCATGGGGAAGCGGCCGCTCAGTTTGCCCAGCAGCTTCCCCCCTGTTTTAGGCTTTGACAGGAGTCCCTGGAAATCAGTGGGAAAACTGTCAACTGCCACAAGTTTCATATCCACATTGCTGCGTGTTTCTGCAAGTGTTGCTCGTCGTGATATTTCTATTTTTCTCAAAGGTTCTTTTTCTTTGCAGTGTGATGTCTTGGATCAGAATTTGCTAAATTTCCTCCCAGAACAAGAACATTCAGAGATTTATAAGATGTTATCTTCTTGTATGCTTATGACAGATTCTGCCTCATCGGATTACCTAAAAAGTAAGTTTTATTTTATCTGTCCCAGTAAATGAAAAAGCACGGGCAGGATAAAAATTTTCTCTCTGAAAGAGTTTTTTATGTGATGTGCAATATAAAACTTAGGTACATAGCCTTTTAAAAAAATCTTGCCACCTGGAATGACCCTTTGGTACTACTTTTAGATGGAACTCATTGCATTTATTTTTACTAGGCTAAGACTACTTGCAGTTATGTTAATTATTAAATATCGTATCTTTTGAGACAGCTAAGGAAAATAGGTTAGCTGATGGAAATTGAGAGTTCGCCTGAGACAAATAACATCTTAATTGATATTTCAGCCTGTTCAAGTAAGATGCTGTCGAGAGATGTGCTAATGTCACGTACCTTTGGTTTGCATTATAGTTGAAAAGTAAAATCATTGTAATTCTTTTTCAAATTGAATTTTGTTTCTCTTAAAAACCCTTTTACTTGCCTCACCCTTACTCACTCTAGGAGGTAAGATGTAGGAAACCAGAAAACACACGATAATGTAAGAAGTACAGCTGCTTAATCTACTGTATATACAAAACCTGCAGCTGATCGCTAATATGCCAAAGCTAATTTAATAGATATTTTGAGGTAATTAGGCATAGTTTTCCAACACAAGATGTAGAACAGCTGTGAGTCGTGAAAAGCCTAAAATAGAAAAAAAAAAAAAAAAAAGCTATAAACAAAGGATCCAGTTCTCTCCTTTGCTACACTGATGCTTCAGTAGCGTAACTCCTGTGATGAAGGTGGCGTGAGAGAAGAGGGAGTCAGTCTGGCAGGCTGTCCCTGCGCTGCAGGCAGACCTGTGCCCGGCGCTGGACAACCTGCATCCCTGCAAGGCGCTTCCTTGCAGAGGCTCTGATCCTACAATGTATATAGCACATGGGGGTACAGAACTCAGAGCGGTAACAAGCCGCTCTCGTGCTTCCAGTTGCAAGATTGGGGTTGGAAGACACCGTTGGTTGTGTTTAGCTTATGTAGTATATTTATTTCTTCTTCTTCTTCTTTTAACAATCCAGCTGACAATGAACTAGAGTTTTATTGTCATCTTCTGAGAGGAAGTTTGAACCCAAAGGAATTTCCAACATATGAATACATAAAATTTGTAGGAAATTTTCGGTCTTACAGCAATGGTAAGCTTTAATTGTTGTATAAATGTTACTTTAGCTGTGTAAAATAAAATATAAGTGTTGCTCCATTGAACAAGACAGGCTTTTAACTGAAAGGACTATTTCTAACATTATGGGGTAAATTTTGCTTCCCATGGATCTCGCAGCCGATTTGCAAAAGCTGGACGAATACCTATGAAGAGTGAAATTGTGTTAGTTGCTTTTGTTATTGCCCTTCACTTGTTAGCAGTGATCCTGGACTCTGGGTAAGTTTGCAAATAATGACAGGTTCAGAAGAGGGTTGCTTTGTGCTCACTAATTCTGTGTGCTAAGCCCGCACCTATCAGCCAAATAATAAGCTTTCTACCTTATCCACGGGCTTACATTAAACACAAATTCTGTGCCAGAACTGGTAATCTGCCAAATCTGCCCTCTCACCCTTCCCTGCAAAATTTTGGGGAAAGGCGGCAGTGCCGCGTAATTGAGTGCCTGCCCCCACCGCCTCACGCTGCAGTGAGAGGTCCCCTGCCGCTGGCATCGGGGTGGCCGAGGATGCTTCCACCCGCCTCCCTCTCCAGCTGCCATTTTACATTCCTCTCCAGCACTGCAGAACCCAATGCTCTCCAAAAACAAGCAAACAAAAACAACAACAACCCCCAAAAAAAAAGCAAAGAAATACAGTCAGCGTAGTCGCTAATGCACCACAGTCAGTCTAGGGAAACCATCTTTCAAGGGATGAAGAGCAGATTTCCACCTCGCCCCGTTCCCTAACAAACAGATTGCTGCACGGCCATTAGTGTCAGAAATGAAATACTCTTTTATTACTTTCCCTTCTCCTGCCGGCCCAAGTTTGCTTTAGTTACTTGCCTGATTGAACTCCAGAGTGGCATTTCCAAAGTTGCTGGTATTGTTCCAAATAGGTCATCCTCAGCAAAAAAATTCCCCACCGAGCTTTCCAAAAACCGCATGCCACACTGCGAGAAAAAAATGTCCCTGTCCCCATTTAACTTTCTGCTCTTGCTCCACATGACTAGAATAGAAACCGACGTGCAGGATGGAGATATGTATTTCTTGTTTGGTGCCATCTGATTTGAGGCTTTATTTGTATAAAAAAAAAAAAAAAATGTAACTGCCTGTATGCTTTCTAGTTTGAATGAAGCAAAATGCGGCTGCCTGACAGACGCACACACCAAGCTGTTCTGTTTTCTAGAGCAGAAACCGGATTTCAGGTGCTGACTCATAAGGATACATTTCTACCAGGGGAATTTCTGATCCATTTTCTTCAAGGATTTTCAGCCTTTTATTTTGGAGTGACCTTAATATTGCCCTCTTACCCATTAGGATCCATATCCCAGCATTTCTATCAGTGGCTATTTCTCAGAAGAAAGATAAAACTTGCGTTACAGATAGCTTCCCTAGCTTAATGCATATAAACTAAAGGGGAAAATATTGATTTCAGAAGACACCAGATCATTTTCCAAAGACCCCAACTTATAGCTTTCTAATAAGACATGTGCTTTCTGCTTCAATTTTTTAATTTTTTTTTCCTTTGTGCCACTTTTTCTAAGCCTTCCACTTTATTTTGCCTCTTCCACTTTCTTCCCACCTCTGCCACAGTCTGACTCTCCGTGCCCCTGCCCTGTGAGATGGTGCCTCCTGGACCCCTTCCCTTTTCCCCATCGCAGAACAGCACTTGCCCATCCCGACTTTAGTTTCCCCAGCCCAATGCAGAGCCTGATGGAAACATTTGGTTCACCAGCGCGTCCCCAGCACTGCTCCCTTTTGGTCGGGGGTGACCCCCATGGACCCCTCTGCCCAACCCCACCAGCCTGGCTCCTAATCCAGCCACAAAAACACCTCCCAGCAAAGGTGGAAGCAAGTGCACCAGTCTCACGATGTAGCAGCAGCGAACTCAGCTGATAACCTTGGGCCAAGGACAGAGCGAGCAGCCGGAAGAGGGTGCAAACCTCTGAAGCGGCTGCCATTAGCTCCACCGGGCTTCTTGCGTCAGCCGGCTGCACCCTGAGCAAGGCATGGGGGACATCAGCTCAAGCGAGCATCGCATGAATGCAGCCACCCTTCGGGCAGCTTTCCAGCCCCAGGGCTGGGGGCAAACAGCTGTGGTTTGGCACGAGGACTTGCCGCACAGACACCTTTGAGCATCAGATGGGAGCAGCGGTGGGCTGGGTTCCCACCTCTGCTTGGCCACCCACACCTCAGGGCACCCCGTTATGGGGCACCATCTCCCCAGCCCACGCACCCCAGGGCTGTCACCTGCTGGACCTGCCAGTAATTGCTCTCCTCTTCCTCCCATTAAATAAATACGCATCCTCCAGGTGTGAGGCCAAGTGGGCAAGAAAGACAGTGGTGGGAATGGAGAAGTGGGGGGGGAGACGTATCACTCACAGGGCAACGCTTGTCCTACGTGCGTAGGATCAGCTGGCCCCAAATCCTGCTTTTTGGAGGTGTTTGTGGAGGAAGGAGGCTAAGCTAAAGAAAAGAGTCAGCTGGGGGAGAAAGACAGAAATTGCAAATTAAGCTTAATTAGCAGGAGATGTTCCTTATGAATGTATTCAAGAATGCTTTTCCCTGTAGCTTTTCACAGCAGTGGAAGTGTTAGCATGTTTTTACACATGGGAGACTGATACAGGATGTTCTTCTCTAAATACAAATCTCTGCCGTTCCTTTTTAGCCACCCGATGCCAAATCCTACCTTTGTTTCCAACGGTTTGCTGAGCAGACCCTGAGTCCGCCCTGCCTGCGCGTTCCTGCCGCAGGGACACCAGAGCCTCTGGGGCCAGGGAAGCTGTTTTATCCCTGGGCAGGCTGTATCTCATCGGGATACTTAACTATTCCATTCTCATTAATGTAGGGTTGTGGCAGTGACAGTCCTAATGCATCTTTTGTCTTTCCTTCTCACTTAACCTTCGCTAATGTTTTGGAGAATTGGTAGGTTCCTTTTTTGCCTCCTTCAACAGAAATGTCACTAGCTTTATTCTACTTCCACATAACCTTTTACGTAACCTCTCTTGAATTATCACCTTCTTAGGCTCATTTTATTATAGTTCATTGCTCATATAATGGTCCTACTTGGGGCAAGGGGGTCACGTGTGCCGGAGTCCCAGTCACCTTGCCCCCCTCCCTCCTCCCTCATACCTTCTCTGTTAATCACATTGTGACTTATGGCCAAGAACATCATATAGGGATGGGTTTGAATGGATTAATTTGAAGGACTGAGGCTTAGAAAGCCAGTTAGGGGCTTAACTGCTGTCCCTAACTGTAGTGGGAGCTCTGGGGCTTTAAAGGCCATTGTACTGAGATGCCAGAGAGAAATTTTTTTCTGCTAAAGTAGAACAAATACCTGATATCTACCAAGGTGGCTTGTCACCAGGATTGCTGTCAGGAAGCCAGATCACGCACAACCTACGTTGAACCCATGCCACTCCTCCAGAGGAGCAGTCACTGGCATCTTCCCCCATCCCAGAAGGGGCAGGGAGATGCACGTGCAGCCCCCAGAAACTGCCGGGGAAAGTTCCCATAGCTCACGGCATGTGTTCAGTCTTTCAGAAGATCACCGTCCCTAGAGCTCCTGGGCTCAGCTATAGCCGGAGGCTGGAGGAGCTGCACGGCCTGGTGCCAGGGTGAGCAGGAGGCTCCACGCTTGGGCTGGTCCCGGGGATGGTGTGCAGGAGGCTGTACTCCGCAACCCCTGCCGCAAGGATATTTCTGCAGCTCTGCCTACACCAGGGGTGCCACACGAGCCGCCTGCACACGAGTGAACCCCCCTCGAAGCAGCTGTGCCCAAGCGAGAGCAGCCGACCGGCGCGACAGCAACGCGAGCTGCGCGGAGTGACTGCATGAGTCACTGGCTGTGCTAAATCAAATACAAGAGATTTGATTTTCCATTTGGGAGGATTATATAATCATCATTAATTAAGCTTCAATGAGAAAAGCAGGACTTTAACCTGACGTGAAGACTCAGTAGTCCCTTGAGAGGAGGGGCGGTGGCCCATGGGCCACTCAGAAGAGGAAGGTGGAGTTCCCTCTTTGCTTCTGTGAGAAATGCCTACCAGCTCTCAGAGCATGAGGGTTTTTCTTTCTATTTGTAAATAGGAACTCTTTACAATATTTTTATATATTTCAGGTTCTGGTCCTGTAGTCCAGATTTTAACAACAGAGATGAATATATGCAAACATCTGAGGGAGCCGAGGGCCATCACTGTACCCGTTGACCAGTAGTACCTGATAAGGGGCAGAGTCATTTCAGCATCACCAATGAATAATGCAATGGCTCCCATCCAGTTTTGCCTGAGGGCTGAGCGGGGAGGCAAGTAATAAAGATAACCCTCAAAAAAATCCACAGAAATGCTTAGGTCCCAGTCTAAAATGTCAAATTAAGTGAGAATAAATTATTTTACAAAGCCGCTTAATAGCTCACTCTGATAAGAAAAGATAAGGCGGGCTGGATTTATCCCTCCTGTGAAAATTGTTTGTACGTTTGTAAACAGAAAAAGATCTCTCATAATTATATAACCAAATATTGGCTTTGGTATCCTATTTCTGAGATGACATACTTGCTTAGAAACTGAGTCCTGCCTTTCAAAGTGTTCACCAATATAAAAAAGGACCACCAGCATCTTTAAAGTGGCAGATCTGTCCTTTCATCCAAAATGCCTGAAGTTTTCCTCTTAAAAGAGGAGATAACCATTAAGTGAAAAGAGTTCCTGATCAAGTAATATAATTAAATATTATAGTGGAATCTAAAACTGTGCATTTTTGTTCCCAATTACATAGAAACTCATGAAGTATCTGTTTACTGGATGTTGATAATAGCAGATACTCTACTGTTAGCTGATATATCTCTTAGAGATAATAACCATCAAGAAAATTATTACGCTGGGGAGAAAAAAAAATCTTTTCACTCTCAGAACAATTAATTCAATCTAAATTCCCTTTTAGAGGAAATAAACAGATTTTTACAGAAGATACATTGATCTTGAGCCTCCATAAGCATATGCAGAAACATCTGATAACAAGAACAACTCAAACTGAAATGAGTGTTTTGATCAGAACCAACAGCCGCATATTGTTATTTAATATCAATAATATTGTAGAAGCTGCAGCTAGCAATCTGCAGTGCTTACGCTGGCCTCTCTATGGCCACTTAAGAAAAAAGGTGCCGTTCCTGTCCTAAAGAATTTACTTGGGGTTCACATCAACACAGGATTTCGAGGTGAGAAACAGCAGGAAGAAAAGAGGAGAGAGTAGATCAAAGTAGACAAGTGGTGTATGGACACCGTCACTGTTACTCATCTGAAACGATTGAGTGCAGTCTGGCTTCCCACTAGCACTTGAGATTTCTTCATTATATATGTTAACTGCTGAATATTCTGTTTGTCTGTGGTCCGAATTTATTTATATGAAACAGTCTGGATTTTATTCTGGTCTGTTTGGCTCGTATTTTTTGAAATCACTGTTCAGTTTGTCCGACAGTCACTAAGGCTGGTTCTTTAAACATTAACATCTACCAACAAAGTAGGAAGGAGGGATTTCTTTCAAATGGCATAAATGAGAGGGTTGCTGTTATAGGAAGGATATGTTTTAAACATCCTAAGTTGAAATAAGATGGCCGAGCAACTGACTGCTGTACTATTATTAACTGAATAATGTGGCATCTGGGTTTTTTAAATGTGTTTTCATTCATTTCATGTGGCATGATTTATATCCCTAAGGATAAAAATCTTTTTGTCTATGGTAGTTAAGAGCTTGGATCCTTATATAGTACTTATTTTTGACATCTTGTCCTTAGTGTCCTGGTCTGTTTTTATAAAAACAAAACCAAACAGCAAAAAAACCCCAACCCTTGTATATAAGCACATCAGTTTCTTTCTATTGTCTTATATGATAGTTACAGGTAATTTAATACTTCTATTAAAGAATATTGTGTAGTTCTAGGAGCAGCAGGTCTGATAGGTAACCACAAAAACTATTAAAATTTATGCTAAGGAGCATCAGCTAACTGATATATATGAGACAACTGTTTCACCTTTCTGATGATGTATTTAGCTTTGCCACATGACCTTCTAATTCCCTACTTAGCATATTTTGTCTAGATCATTTAATTGTGAAACACACATGCCCTCATTGACCCGAGCCCGCCTGTTTATAGCCAGCTTAACATTTTCATCAGATGCCTTCTGAGAAAAGCACTCCAAAACCTGTATTTGACTTATAAATGTTAATATAATCAGGAATAGCGTGGCCAGCAGGGCTAGGGAAGTGATTGTCACACTGTACTCAGCACTGGTGAGGCCCCACCTTGAGTACTGTGGTCAATTTTGGGCACCGCGGTATAAGAAGGACATTGAGGTGCTGGAGAGGGTCCAGAGAAGGGCAGTGAAGCTGGTGAAGGGTCTTGAGAACAAGTCTTATGAGGAGTGGCTGAGGGACTTGGGGCTGTTTAGGCTGAAGAGAAGGAGGCTGAAGGGAGACCTTATCGCTCTCTACAAATATCTGAAAGGAGGTTGTAGCGAGGTGGACATTGGACTCTTCTCACAAGTTACAACCGATAGGGTAAGAGGAAATGGCATCAAGTTGCACCAGGGGAGGTTTAGGTTAGACATTAGGAAAAACTTCTACACTGAAAGGGTTATCAAAGACTGGCACAGGCTGCCCAGGGGAGTGGTTGAATCGCCATCCTTGGATGTACTTAAAAGCCATCTAGGTATGGTGCTCAGGGACATGGTTTAGAAGTGGGCCTGGTAGAGTTAGGTAACGGTTGGACTTGATGACCTTAAAGGTCTTTTCCAGCCATAACGATTCTATGATTCTATGATGAGAGCCTCAGACTTCATCCTATATTTTCCATTCCACTGTTTTCTGTGGTGCTCTCAGAAAGTTCGCTACTGAACTTTGCTACTTCAAGATGTTATGTGTTTGTTTTAAAGATATTTGGAGAATTGTAAAGTACGATTTTTCAGAAGGCATGCTTAAAAGATTATGCCAGGATATTTATTTTTTTTTTTTTAATTCACAGAACGATCTCTTTTTTTAACTACACTGTAAAAGTTATCAACAAAAAAACTTGAAATTTGCTGACCGGCTGCAAGGGCAGAACAAAACAGGCTGTGCAGACGGAGCTGTGAGAAGAACAGATACCGACAAAATAAGTCAGGCAGCAAAGTAATTCAGAAAAAAAATGTGGGATTTTTTTTTTTCTTTCAGTTATTGTAGTTGTTATTTTTCTGATCAAGATGTACATTTCAAGGTGATGCAAGCCTGCATCATCGAGGCTTGTAGTGCTTTGGGCTTTGTGAAGGGCAGCTGAGTATGGAGATGGCACAGTAGCTGTTCGAAGACTGGATGACTTTCAGCCAGGCCAGCTCTGTCTCACCTCCTTGGGCTTATTCATTCACCGTTGCTAAGTTCAACATTCCCTAATGTTGTGATGAAATCCCAATGTTAGCATATAGCTGTACTATATGATAATTATTACCCTTTAGTATTGCATTTACCTCTTGGAAATACAATCGTATTTTGTAAATGCCACATTCAGGGCTGTATGCTGCTCTCTTCTGGGAATACATCTCAAGCTCATGGCTGTTTCCATCAAAGGATGTAAAAAAGCCATCCACTCTCTTTGCTGCCACTGGGTTTCCACTGGGTATTTCTTCTGCAACCAGTGTCATTTGCAAGCCCATGGATTCCCTAACCAGGTTAACTTTGGAGGCTGAATGTGCTTATCTTACTTTCCTATCTTAGAGCACAGTCTGCAAACATTTGCTACTGAACTTGGCTATTAGAAAGAGAAATGGCCCCATTACCTTCAAATGTGACAACATATTATGTAGTAAGCTTGGAAGTAACTTTTTACAATGCCCTTAATGTGGGTTTATAGCAATACCATTAATTTTTAACAGGACTGGCTACAGAAATCGACAGACTTACAAAAATAATCCTATCAGAGAAGAACCAATAACTTTTTGCTCAGGCTTCTCCTTTTTCCTGTAGCTCCTAACTCTTTCTTCTTTTTTTCCACCTCTTGTATTAATAATCCCATAGAAGCCCTCACGTATGCACATAACCCCAGGAGCAGAACAGGAATACATATTCCTACGAAGTCCCCAGAGCAAGTGTGCTTTGCTGGTGAAAGGAGGAGAATTTTGCCCATATTTTTTATCTTAAAATCCAGTCAGCCATGCCCTCCAGACTCAGCTGAAAGAGTGGGCTCTAATCTCTGTGGACGTTCACATCTGTGTCGCCTTCTCAGATGAGGAATCTCTCTTCCCCTTTTTGGCACAATATATATTGTGCTCACAGTGGACTAAATCACAGGTGTGAATTCTCCTCAGAGTACTTATTTTTCTGTGTCATACCCTGTTACCCTCGTTATCAGCTATGTATCATTATTCGAAGGCTTTTAATAGGTTGAACTGGGTTCCAAAAGCACACGCGATAAGTTGAGACTTCTTCAATCTCTACAATTTATGCTAGTGAACTAAAGCCAAGAAGCACCCCAGAATAAAAATTGCTAGTGATCTTCTCCCTAAACAGATAAAAACCTCTTCATTTTTACAGGAATAGACATGCTCATCCTTGCTTTGTCCCACGCAGAAGAGACAAAATGTAGGAAACTTCATAAAGTTGGACATAGTGGCCTAATAGTACAGAAAGATAGTTTCACATTAGCATTGATCCCTATTAGCATTAGAATAACTAATATTGGTGAACCTTGGCTGCTAGGTGGGACCTTCTCTGCCCCCATAGAAGGTAGCTGGCTGGGCAGGACAAGAGCCGATGGGGCCAGCCCAGTTCCCACCACAGCTTTGCACACAGGGTTTTTTCACTGCTGTAGGAGCAGGATTACCATCTCTAAACAGCTCAAATTTGGATGAAGAATTTGCATTACGTCATTCTAACATGGGACTGTGGGCTAGCTTAAAGCAACACATTCTTTTGGCAACGCATCTTTATGGCAGGAGGTGCTAGCGGACCCTCAAAGTGACACAAAAGCCACGCAATCACGAAAGACACAGATAAAAAAACATACACAAAACCTGTAGCCACATCGCATCCAGTTTTTCCTTCTGCCCAGTGTTTCAGGAGACAGCAGGCCATCTGCAGGCTCAGACATGCCCAGCTCTTGAAGCCAGTGCTGTACACGGGGTCCTCTGCTCCTCTTTAAACCGAGGAGAACTTGAGCACGCTGGGGATGGTTCTCCTTAGATGCAGAAGATGCACTTCAGCAGCCGAGAATCGCAAGCAGCCTCTCGCTCGCTCGCTGAGGACTCGCTGGCTGTGGGCCCCAGTGTTTTGCCACTGATGACTTGACGAACTCTCTTCAGCTACCTCCCTTCTTGCCAAGGCTTTTTTTCACTGCCTCGTGGAAGCTGGCGCGCTAGGCACACTGCAGCATATATTTTTTTCTTGTGAGTGGTGAAAAAGAGCAATTGGATGCATAGGGTTTCTTTCCAGAAAGCTGGTTTATGCTCTGTAAGAAGGCTTGGCCTTATTTTTATCAGGATTAACCTATAACATTCATACTTGAAGTTAAGCTCTGATGTCTTTCTGCCTAACATGACGGCCTTGGATTTAAATATATGCATATCAGCTTTAAAAGCTTTTAGAGCAATTCTCTGAATAAAATTAGTATTAGTACACTTCAAGTGTGCAAAATATTCAGGGAGAACAAATCTCGTACGAGGCATGACTCTGGGTCCCTTTTTTTTCCCTGCCTAGTGCCTAACTCCACATGCAATGGCTTTGACGAGGCTGTCCCAAGGGCTTACAGAACATCCCCGGGAAAGCAGATCTGCTTCGTTGCGACTGTTCGTTTGGCAACGCCTCAGTTTTTAAAGGTAAGGGCAGACCCTGGATGCAGAACTTCTCAAAAGACTTTTAGACGGGGTGACACGCAAAGTTCATAATTTTGCTAACTGAATGAATTACAGATATCACATTTCATGCATAAAAATCCAGTGAAGAGGATTATCAGTGCAAGCCAGGACCTGCGAAAGCGGTGTCACTTCTGCCCCCTTTGCACGGGAAATGGGAACCCTCCTTGCATGAGGAATTGCAATGTCACTTTGAAATTGAGTTCTTTGTTGCTGCTTTCTGTTCCTGCGATGGGACAGTGTACAGATGGCCACGAACGCTTTCATTTGAGTCACTCGATGTCTTTGGGTGACTGCTGCTAGTTCCTCTTCCACAAGATCCTGGTAGTAAGATAGCTGTTTGTGGAAATACAGATAGACCCAACATTGTGCCTGGCACTGTGGTTCCCTAATTAACAAATGTGAGCTACTGCATCAGGTGTCCCGTCCTCAGAGGTTAAGAGATTAAAAAGTGTAATTGAGACCTAGCTGGTATGAAATCACTGCTCCCTTGGCCTGGCTCCATTACTGCTCAGGGACCTGCAGGGCACTCTTGACTGATTCATGGCCCCGGCAGGCAAGTATAGTCCCTTCTGGATAAGTGAGGACACTTCCCATAAATCTTAGCCGCAGTAATCATATTATCAGTAGAGGCTGGAGTTAAGGTTCTCTGAGAACCCTGAAAGCAAATTCCCTTGTCTTTGGGTAGCTGACATCTCAAAATAAACAGGGAAACGAGATGGGCTGCACGTTGCAATGAGCTGCCCAGTGCTGGGGGGGATGCAGCTGCTGAACAACCCAGAGAAGGTGTTAGCTGCTGAGAAACCCTGCGCAGTGATCTCTTCAGTTCACCTGGGTGACTCATTTAACCCCCGGTCTTGACGTCCTCCTCTAAAATGAAGGCAAAAATATTTATCTGACTGGTTAAGCAAGGCAGAATCAGCATTTTGGTTGCACATATCAACGTTTGCATGTTGCACCTTGAATTTTAGGGTATGTTCTTGGCATCAGCATGGATTTTGGTGTAAACTGGAGAGGGAAGGAGAGAGGAATTCAAGGTGTGTGTGAAGCCTTTTGCCAATCTGCAGCTAGCAACTTTAATCACCTTTGTGAGCATTGATACATACCAAATAAATGCTTGATGGCAGTGCACCTCAGCTTGTCCTGTGGTCCCAAGAGGGTTTCAAACATTGGTGGCCTGAAAGAGTTCTTTTCCTGAGAGTGAAAGCCATGAGAGAAGTGGCAGAGGAGATGATGAGAGGGTGTCACTTGCACAGGGAGACATGGCACCAGGGAGCAGGACAGCAGCATCAGACGCAAGCGGGCAGGTTGTCCTTAACAGTGATGATGGAGACCCTCCTGCAGGAGAGGCATGGGGGACACAGTAACTCTGGACGCCACCAAATCCTGAGTGCTGATGCTGGCAAGTCCCATCCAGGGGTCTCCAGGATGACATCTCGTTGAGCTGGAGTTGCCCGTGCAAGCCACCAGTAGGAGAGCAGAGGTTGGCAGAGGGGAGCTGTGAGTGGGTTGGGAGCTAGCTGTGGGGCACGCAGCCAGCCCCAGCTCACACATGGGTGTACACCGCGGTGTCATCCTTCCTCCCCTTCCCACCTCCGCCCAACAACTCATCTCTGCCAACTATGGAAGATGTCCTACCTCACAGGCAGCCTGTGCCCTACCTCCTGTAATTCACTCATTAATTATGATTCTCATGAGCTCCCAGGGCTGCTGTGGGTCTGAAGGGTCAGCTTCTTCACTGCGGGAGTGAAGCTTAAGGCAATACCACTGCCTTGGACCCACCTGACGGCCCCTACGCAGGTTGCCTGTCTGAAGAGGCACTTCCTCCTCCACAGCGCGTAGCATCCCCAGCTATTGAGTGGGAAGGAGAGCGTCTCCCCTTTCTCAAAGAGGACTTGGAGGGCAGACATCCAAAAGAGCCAGGCAAGGACAGTGGGTATCTTAAGTAACACAAAGAGAGCGAGGAAAGACGTGGCAAACCCAGGTGGGACCAAGCACAGGCTGGATGTTGGGAAGGGGCATTGCTCCTCGGGGATGTGGGGGGCACAGCTCTCACACCCCGGGCACTGCTTCAAAGCCATAAAAGCTTTGGCACCCCAAGGAACAGCCATGGCTCTTAAGCCCATGTGCATCACAAGTTCTTCTCCCCAACCCCTGCAAAAATGTTGGCATTGATAAATATAATAGATTGCTCTCTGGAATTACCAGAAAACATGTAGAATCCTCTATTTTCTCCTCTTATGCGCCGTGTATTTATAGCTAACAAAAGCTAGATGAAGCAGAGTGGTGAAGCCGCAACTCTTACTAAGTTGGTTTTCTTCACCATACAGGAGATGTGCATCGTGGAAGAACCTCTAGAGGAATTCACATCAAGACACAGTCTGGAGTGGAAATTTTTATTCCTGGATCACAGGTTGGTGACAAGAAAAGCACTCCTCATTGTGTTCAGTGCTTGTCTACTGCTATTTTCATAAGTGCAATTCTCTCAAATAGTGTTATGTTTCACATCTAAACAGGAGGCCAACCACCGAAATTCCTACAAAAGATGGTATTTACTATTTTAGCCTGCATTTATCGCTCTTTTAAAACAAAACTACTCTGTCTCTCAGGCCGAAATTGTGATAAGCTTGTTCGTGTTTGCTTTAAAAATACCAATGGACCAAAGTCTGTCTCATGGCAAAATCATCTAATTATTATACAGCTGTGGAAATCATTCTTTCCAAATCCTGCCATTGATACATGTGCAATTCCCACCGAATTACGGAGGGAAAGTCTGTGCTGGCCTGAGGCAACTGCTGGCAAAGGTACAAAGCAACTGCCGCAGCACGCCACGGACGAGCTCTGCGGACACCCAGAGGGAAGCGGCACAGATCTCCCCTCCTGCCCATCTAGTCCTGGCAGATGATGGCTTCCTATCACCTCGCCACATGTTTTTCCCCATGCAGGGACTGCGGGAGCCGCAGCACAGCCCCTGACCAAGGAAGAGCCAGGGAATGGGTCCCTCACAGCAGGGTCTTGTGTGAAGGTCCCCAAAAGGCTGAGTTGCTTTCCACAACCACATTTTCCCCGGAAAGATGGGGTTGTCATGGCCATGTCCTGGCAGGAAGGTGCCGTGCCCAGCCGGGCATCCCGGGCACAAGGCGGGGAAAAGTCAGGATCTGGTCCCCTGGGGTGGGCGACTGTTCACCGACGAGTGAGAGCAGATCTGGGCTTTTTACGTATCTGTGTCAACATGCAGAACTGCTGTTTCTTTCGTGGTTTATGAATTCCCTTATATTGTGCCTAACCGCAGAGCACCGCCGATTATAGGATACTTGCCTTTTGAAGTGCTGGGTACTTCTGGCTACGACTATTACCATATAGACGACCTAGAGCTGCTAGCAAGGTGCCACGAACACTGTAAGTATCGCACAGCCCGGGTTCCTGTGGAGTCACTGGGACACCTCTCCTCAGTGAAATGTAGTTTCTGTTAAAATTGGTTTGAACTTGTAAGGGGAGGTTTGAACTTGGCCTCACACCTGTATGTCTTAGCGGAGTTAGAGCAGAGTGGGGACACTGCAGCTGATCAGCATCTGGGCCAGACTTACTGAGCTCTGAAAAATACGATTTTACCTTCTGTATCCCCAGAAGCAGTCAGCGAGACTCACTGAATGGATAAAATACACCAGATTAGACCCTCACTCTATTAGTAAAGAATATACAGGAATAGTTCAAGCAATTTCAGAGGAGATCCTATTTTGTAAAATTCTGGTGGATTATTTACCCTAATGTTGTGCACTGTGTCTTTGTGATTACCTGTGATTATTTAAATACAGTCTATTAAGTTTTATTTGAAAAACTCTTTCACTAAGTAAAGAAAATAAGGCAATCGTTTTCAAATATTTGCTTACAGAACTGGCTGGCACATCTCATTTTACCACCTCTGGGTGGCCTGAAAATACCCCATCAACATTAGTTTTTATATGTTGACAATAAAATTGAGAGGGGCTAAATATATGCATGCTTGGGAATCCCTTGAAATCACTGGGAGGGAATGCAGAGATTAATTTTGTCAGTGAATCTTTAAAACCTTTAATACACGCCAGTTTACTGCACTTTGAATTCTTGTCAGTCTGGGAATTTTCTTTCAGTTTCAAATGATTTTTGTCTTTGCAAAATGTTATCTCCTATACTCACTTCATTCTGAATCCATTTGCACACAATACTCACCTTTTCAAGCATTTTTATCCTGTACTTTTCTGCTATAGAACTTAAGATGAACACTCCTAGAAATTAATCCCAGATGCCTAATTAAGCAGTATGTGATCAGCACATAAACCAGGGTAAGATCTGTGTTTAAGTTGTAGCAGACATTAATGCATTAGTGTCCAAAGTTAAGGTTAATTGTGCCATGTAGGAATGTAGCATTCCAAGTGTCAGAAAAAGTTACCTCCTGATCTTTATGATATTTGCTCTATCGTAAGACTGACAGGACCACTCGCTAGGAGGGTGCTTAGACTCCCTTGGGAATCGATGATACTTTTGTCACACTTTTCACATTTCATGTCATTTTCACATCATAAATTGTGGTACAAGCTGTGTGTATGTTCTGCTGACAGTGATGCAGTTTGGCAAGGGGAAGTCGTGCTGCTATCGGTTTCTGACCAAAGGACAGCAGTGGATCTGGCTCCAGACCCATTACTATATCACCTACCACCAGTGGAACTCCAAGCCAGAGTTCATTGTGTGCACACACATGGTGGTAAGGTATGGAAAATCCTATCAACCGGCGGGAACATAAAGGACAGTAAGATAAGGGCATCCTCGTGACTGCCAAAATTTTCTCTTAGAAAAATGATGTCTTTTATGTAACAAAAAAGAAGACTGAACTCTCTGAAGGATGTATGTTCATTATAGAAAAATGATCAGACCAAACCTTACTTTATCCTCAGTGTGATTTGTCAATCAGGAGTTCAGGGGCAGATTAACTGTTGCATTTTGCCATTTTGTGCAAAAATGGGGAATAGACAGATCCCTTAACTATTCTTACAACTAGTTAAGCTCTAACCCTTACATTGTTTTTTGAAGAGATGTGTGGAAGCTTTCCAGTGAAGTTGTAAAGTGGTTGTAGGCTGTGAACTCGACCTTTATATATACTTCTTTAATATACCTCTTGACTTCAAGAAGACAGGAACAGAGCAAAAACTGAAAATTAAGTGACTCTCAAATGTTATTCAGTAGCATCTGACTTAAGTGATATTTCAGCTGTTCATTTAACCTGTAAAATGTTACAATAATTTGCTCCTCTATTTGCTTTATTTTAGGAAATATATTTATTAATCTTATGTATAATAATATATTTTATGAAACATAACAATATAACATATGAACTATAACAATACCATGTTGATACATGCAATTATATTTTATATTCAGTTATGCAGATGTTCGGGTGGAGAGGAGACAGGAGATGGGCTTGGAAGAAGTGTCCTCAGAGGTTGTGTCCTCAGCACTAAAGGTACAAAGAGAAAAGGTATTTTTCCTGAATATAAGTAGTAATCACAACTTGTTCCTATGTTAACATCACTGAAGACTCCAGTATTGTCTTTCTGGGTGGATTCTCTCAACTTCAGAATTCATTGCTCACTGGAATAATTTTAAAGTAACTTGGACAAGCTGATGAAAGGATAAACCTGGAGATCAGTAACAGCCACAAATTATCTGGAACATGGGCAGGGGCAATATGAGGTATCTCCACCTTTCGTTGGCAAGGTACTACAGTTTAAAGATTCATTTGGACATGTTCTGGCAATCAGCCTTCTTGGCTACATCTCAGTGATCTGCTGAGGGAAGAAAGAAAAGCTCCTCCTCAGCACACGGCCGAGTGCCTCACAGAGGTTGCAGTTGCTGTCACATCCAACTGAACGCAAAAGAAAGATTCAGAAAAACATCTGAAGGCACAAAATGACTACGGCAGCAGCTTGCTACGTATTTCCAACTCAGTGATAGCTCTTTGTGAAATGCATTAGCTAGATGCTGTTTGGAAGGGACATTGACACCTGTGATGGTCTTCTGCTGGCCTACCTGGGATTAGTTCTGCTCAAGTCACTTTAGGCCAGCCAAAGAACTGGGTGTGCAACCATTACTAGATGTATTTCGAAATGTTTTCACACTGACAGGTGCAATAGCTATTCCCTTTTTTTGGTTTGTTTTAGGACAGTGGCGCCAGCTTGGATCCTGAACAGCACTTTAATGCACTTGATATTGGTGCCTCAATCCTCAGCACTAGTCGGACACCCTCAGTATCATCCAGGAGCTCACCAAAATCTTCCCACACGCCCAAGTCAGACCCAGCATGTGAGTGGCATTCCTGTGTTACTGCATTATTTTTAATTTAGCCAAGTTACAGAATGTGTGCCTATATACCACAGCTGCTAATTTAAAAGTTATTTATGAGGTATTGATGTTTGCCGCTGTGTTTGCCACTGACGATGAAGTGCATAATCTGAAACGGTAACGTACAAGATGGAAGGTTCTAGTGCAACCATCCATACAGTGGAAAATGAGTAGTGGGATTAGCCACGAGTCCTGCTTTTTCAATCTGTTATGAAAATAAGGACTTCTGTCTTCAGATTTGAGGGTATCGGTATGAGCAATATGAGGCCCCTCTAGACTTACATGAGTAATTACAGCCTGTGGGTGATTCTCTTCTGGCCAAGATTCAGGATGTTCCAGCCAAGACTTGGGCACACCTTATACACTCCTTCCGCTCCCTGTTCTGGAACAAAAGCCAATGAGCTAACCTAAATTTATAGTTATACGGCCCATATGAAGGGAGTTCCAGCTGTTTTAGAACAGCTCTTGGGTTCTTCTGCCCCGTTCACTGGAGCACAGAATCATAATCTGTCTCATTTACTTTTATCTTTGCCCAGGCCCTCCTTATCAATTTAATTTTATTGCCATTGAAGTCAATAAGAACCTTGACTCCTACTGGAATTTAGCCAGGCCATAATCATTTCTATCCAGATCTCACTGTAATTCCCACTACAAACGGGCGTGATTTCCAGCGTGTGAGAACTCACCAGTACTTTTCTTGCAGCTACGCCAACAAAGCTGATTGCAGAGTCTAACACACCCTTGCCAAGAACACCAAGCACGCAGCAGGATTTATCCGTGCATAGACTCAGTCAACCTGCTGCTCTTCAGGTAACTTCACAGAGTCATCAAAATAGGCCAACGGTATAAAGCATGTGCCACATATGCAACTTAGCAATTAAACACGACTTACCCAGAAGCCCTGGCATTAGAAGAAACCTAATATTTAAAAGAGCCAAACTTCTAAATAAAGTTTAGTTTAGTTTAGTTTAGTTTAGTTTAGTTTTGGTTTGGTTTGGTTTGGTTTGGTTTTAACCCAGGTTTCTTTGCCTTCGCAGCCTTCATGTGAGCTTCTCCCACAGCAGTTGCTGCCTCAAGCAACTCTGCAGAATCAGCCTGCACCTCTGGCACAGGTTAGTTGGGAATTTGGAAGTGGAATAGGTCACTTGCCTATATCTCCTGACATTTTCTCCTTTTGAGGCTTTTCGGGCTCCTTAGTAGCTAAAATCCCCAAATCCACCAGCTCTCAAATACTTAAAATATAGTGGGAAAGTAATCTGAATTGTACACACATGTGTTTAAACATATATCTGCATACAGGCATTCCAAGCAGAAATCCAGGTACATGTAGGTTCAGATGCACACTCTCATCTATTTCGCAGGAGGACAAAAAAGAGATGGGAAAAGAGTTTTCAACTTTGCTTCTACAGAATCAGATCCCGTCAAAGTCAAGGTCACAATGAGAATTAAACCCAAAAAACTAACAAAGACAGACACCCAGTCCTCCTAAAAACACCTGTTTGGCTGTTCTGATGCAGAAAAGGACATGCAAGTTCAACAAAACCCATTTTGTGAGTGTGCCAGTAGAAGAGAGGATGCCACTAGAGACAAATTCCTCCAGTGAAATCTTTTAACCCATATCTCAAAAGTGGGTGATGGCCCAAAAAGCCACCTCTGTGTTTCATTCGCAGTGGATTTTGAAGGACCAAATTTGAGTACCATGTTCCCATCACATTGTTTCTCTCCTGTGGTCATGCTGTGGTGATACACCCCATCATTGTCTGAATTTAGAAATGACAGAGTAGTCCTGGACCTAGGTTGCTTCTACCATCGGTGCCCTGTACTTGCTCACAAGATCTCTGAGTTTCTTCCTGTGGCGTATAAAACATAGAAAGTCCTGAGGAACCCTGCTTTAAAATAACAAATTCTCATTTATCTTCTATGTTTAATATTCTTTTCACGACTCCACACCAGCATGCAGCGAACAAACAGCATATCAATTATCTGTTCTGAGCATTCATTTTCTTTTACAGATATTTCTCTCCGTTATTCATTAATGCACTTCCAAACATCAATTAGTTTATTTATTATAAACCCACGCATGTTTTGTTTGACTTTTTTCTACCTCCCTTTCTTCTCCATCAAAGCTCTTTGTGAAGAGATGCTTTCCAGTCATTTACCAAGAGCCTGACTGCCTTATCCCTTCCCAGTAAGACGCTCTTACTGGCATGCCAGCTCCATTTCTGCTCCACCAAATCAGGGTGCCATCCAGTCGCACAGCCACTGGTCCAGCCTTTTTGGGCTGGCTAAATCTCGGTGAAAGGAAGAGGGCTGACTCGAGTCTGCCTACACAGCCAGCCCTCTTCTTGACCAGCAGCAAAGTCGCAGCAATGCTCCTGGCGAAGCTCAAGAAGGAGCTTCCCTCGACGTGGCGGTGGGAAATAGCACCAGGACATTGCAGCTCAGGTTGCGGAGGCTCACATCCCATAGTGGTACTCCTGGGAAAAGTAGCAAGCCTCCACAGACGTGGGTGAAAATTATGAGGATGAAAATTATGAAACTAGGATGAAAATTATGAAACCATTCTGTACTTCCCACCGTAAAATAATAAACTTGTCAGCCTGCAGCGAGACAATCCATGATTTAAAAGATGAGGTGCCTGCAGCAAGCGCCGAAACCCAGGTGCGCGTGCTTCCCACCACCAACATTTCCTCGGTTTCCCAGTTGATCGTTTCACAGGCAGTTTAGGGGCAGAACACAGGCGCATGGCTTTTAGCCATAGAGTGGCCAGGCGCCCCGCTGCCAGCCCCGGAGGAGGAGGAGCTGCGCAGGTCGCTCCCCGCTGCCCTTCTGCCGCTGGCCCTCAGCTGAAGGTGACCCATGGCAGAGGCTGAAAGCCAGAGTGCCGAGCTTGGCCACGCAGGGCCCTGGTGCTCTGATGGCCGTCCTTGAAGCTAACATTCCACTACGGGGCAGCAAGCGGCGAGGGGAAGGACATTTTAAGCATCCACAACCACATCTGCAGCGAGCAGCCAGCTCCTGCCTCAGGCGCCATCTGCTTGAACTTTGATTAGTTTTATCCCGAGCAAAGGCTGCGATGGTTTTGTCTCCGCCAAAATGTGGTTTTAGCTTCTGCCTTGCTTGACTGAATGAATAGACAGTGCAGTACTAGATGCTGCCTGAATGTAAATGGTTTACTTTAAACCGAGTGCTCCCTATTAGAATATTTGTTTGTTTGCCTTCTTCATTGTCATAAATTAAAATCCCCTACAACACAGCGGATGTTGATGACTGAATAATAATTAGCGCTAATAATCCGTTTGGGATTGCGCAGGTGTTATTCAGAAGACAGAAAGAAGGAACAAGTCGTTCGGTGAGCTGCAAAACTAATGAAATTCGGTTTCCCAGGGGCTGCACCTTGCGAGGCTGGTGCACCAACCCAGCCTTTCCCGCAGGAGGAAGGGGCGAGTGGATCCCTCTCTCCTTTGCTCAGCTACAGCTTTCATGAAATTACAGCAACCTGGTGTTTCTGAGACCCTCGCGTCTCTAGCATTGGCCAGAAGGATGGAAAGTGGGAAGGTAGGCAGAAATGAAATGTTCAAAGGAAACGAAGCTAAAAAATAAATAGGGTCCCTTTTCTTTACCCAGCTACCTATTGTCATGAAACGTGTAGGAAGAGAATGTCTTTGAGCTGTCCATCTTTTTTGTTCGTCACATCAGAAACTGGGGACCATCCCCACAGACAGAGGGGCCATAGGTGCCCTCCCCTGGCTGCAGCCCCCCATCACCCAGAGAGAGGGAGTAACCCTGTCACCCTGGGGTGGCACCCGGGGGAGAGAAACGTCCCTCCTCAGGCAGGTCCAGCTGGCCTCTTTCAGATGTCCATGCTGGCAGGGAGGAGCCACAGCCCAGAAGTGCCGGTCCCTCCCCCGGGGCTGTACAGCCTGTCTGGACCACCAGCACCTATGCATCAAGCCCATCCCTACCCAAACACCTGCCAACATGATCCCAAAAGCATCCCGCTTTTTTTTAATTTTTTGAGAAACCTGTCTAAAATTATTGCTGTGGGATTTTTGTCTGCATTAACCAACCTTGATTAAACTGGTGATCTTCTGCAATTATAGAGATTTCATAGGTTTAGTCTTCCATGTTTGACTGTACCTGGAAAGCTGGCACAAGTATGACATGTACTTCTCTGAGAATCCTACAGAAATTTGTAAATAACTGAGTGAGATGAAGAGCAATTTCATCTGAGTTAAAGCTGTGCGGTGTTTTCTGCGGAACATTTTGAGTTAAGCTCTTTTAATTTATTATTTCTTCCTTAATTAGTAAAGCAGTCAATGATCTTGAGATAAGTACTCTGTGGTGCAGGTCAATTGCTGTTAGTGTCTGATTGTACAAACACAATAGAAGTTTTGTAATCACAGGGGTCACTGCTGGAGTTATCAACAAATTTGGGGGTTAGAGTGGGAAAGGGAAAAACAAAAGAGAAAATTCCTTGTCTTCTTCCATAACAGCTTTCACTCCAGTAGACCAGCTAATTGTTGCTGTTAAGTGTATTAATACAAAAAGCACACGAAAAAAAGAACAAAAAGACAATACTAGATGAATATGCTGAATATAAGAAGGTGCTGAAAAAAAATTAAGGAATAATAACTTAAAATCAACAGCAATATATTTTTGCATGCAACTTTACAAAGCAAATTCGAATTCAAAACTAAGGTCTGGAAATGGATTTTGTTTCTTATTGAAGTATAAAATGATTATAAAATAATCTGTTATAAAATTCCTTACATTTATTAATTGAAGAAAATCATGTTCCTTTCCCAAAGTGTCTTCAAGGAGTTTGCAAGTTAATGAAAAGTCTGCCATCAGCAAGCCAGGCAGTTAAAATGAAGCTTTTGGCTAAAATAGTTTTTTTAATTCCTTTCTGACAAGGACCCTTTTAAAGACTTGAGTAGTCCTCACTAATGGAGTTCACATAGAGAGAATTAGGTTGCAAGACTCGGCTTTTTAAAAAATCCTGTACAGATCCAGGTTGAAGCAGGACTTAGCTGCATCTCCTCTGAGCAAGCTGTAGCGTTGTTTCACTCGTAAAATGAGGGTACCTGGGACTCTTCGGAAACACGGAGTCGGGCTACAACCAGCAACACCGGACACCCCTTGGCGTCACTTCTCCTTGTTGCCAAACGTCAGAGGTTTCCACTCGTCCATTCCTCAGGTTAATCCTTTATAAAAGGAATAGAAAAAGGGAGAGACCTTGCTCTGACTTCTCGTCTTTAACACCAATTAAAAGTAACACGAACTTCTGGTTGGGAGGCTTGACGCCATTTTTCTGCTCTGGGAGAGGACCAGGTTGCAGATGAGAGCGCTGCTGTTTGAAGGCAAAAGCACTGTGGATCTTGGCGCTGGAAGCCAAGCGCTCACATTATCTCCTCGGGTAGATGGCGCAAGCTGCGAGCACTCGCCGATACCTCTGCTACCAAAGTGGGTTCTGAGGACCTCTGCCAGCAGCAACTGCACGGGCCATCTTAGCAGCCCTTCTTCCCCCTTAAGCAGGGCTGGCCATGAAACTCCCCTCCGCTTTGCCACCACTCTTTGAGCGGTGACCTCCCAGATTGTGCAGGAAAGCCGCCCTCCACCTGGTAAATAGAAATAAACCCTCTGAAGTTCTTGTCCTCTCTCACTTAAAGGCCATTTACTTGGAGATTTCAGCTTTTCTGGAGGGAACGTGAAGGTATTTCATATACTTAGCTGGTTTAAGGCAAAGCAGTTAGCTGATACAAATCTGACCTGTCACATTTAGATTTTTCTAAGTAGCTAGAAATTTCTTTTAACTGTACAGTGTCGCTAGCACCAGAGGTCTCCTTAATTCCCTTCTTGTTACCGTTTGTGTTTTCCTATTGAGAAGCCAAGTGCACCTCCATGGAGCAGGAAGGCTCCGGCAGCGTGCATCAGTTCACTCACTAGCACAGAGACACTGGAACAACCGTGGGAACAGGGCACCATTTTCAAGTCACAGCAAAATTATTATTTTTCTTTTGCCTGGACACTCACAGCACCACATGTTTTCAGAGAGGTCTCGGAAGCCTTGATAACAGAAAAGCTTACAGATTTTTTGAAATGTTTTTTCTTTCCAAAGACTGTTTTTTATTTTTGGAATATGAGCTCATGCAAAGCAACTATTCCAAAGCCTATTAAAGTAATAATTAACTTTGGTGGACTTTGAATCATACCCCAAAATGCCAAATAAAACCAGGAATTTATTGACTTGTTAGTACCCTCCACACTTACTAATGATTCCACTTTGTGCCAGGTATTGCTGCTACTGGAGGCTGCGCTTTCTTCTTGACCCTGATTAGTGATCTCTATTTTAGATTATTATTATTTAGAATAGCCTTTCTCCCACTGAGCTGAGCTACTCATTTTACATCATGCACAAAAATAACTTAATGAGTATTTCTTGTAGCTTGAATACTACTCAGCTGTAGAAATATGGAAAATGTTTACTGTGGTCAGCTGTCGCGTGATGCTATATTAAGTCATCACCAGAATAAACCATTGCAGCATTGCTATTTCTGTGAGGAAAAAGGAAAGCATTAGTAAAACACATCTGGAATATACAGTTATGCCACACTAAGGGCTCCCAGCTACATGCTAATAAAAATAATGCACTCATTTGCCATTCAGTTAAGATGCTCTTGATATTGTAAAGTAGCATACTTCCCAAAACACTCCTTCTGATAATTCCCTAACAGAACAGGGTCAGTTGTAAGCAGATCACTCTAACTGAGGCAATTTAATATATGTGCGTAAAACTGCAAATAGACAAGATTTATCTCTGCATAGATGTTAGTATATTACAAACACATCTTTTATTCCTTTGGCTGTGCTTTACAATCAAGAAACCAATAACTTCTTACAGAACAATGTTCTATCGAGGCCTGTTTGTATCATAAGGGTTGATTTTTCCCTCTTTTTTTCAGTTCTCAGCACAGTTCAGCATGTTCCAGACCATCAAGGACCAGCTGGAGCAGCGGACCCGGATCCTGCAGGCCAACATCCGCTGGCAGCAGGAGGAGCTCCAGAAGATACAGGAGCAGCTCTGCCTGGTCCAGGACTCCAGCGTACAGGTGCGTTACTGCTGGGAGGGGCAGAGCGAAGCATCCTCTCTCGTGTGGCCGTTGATGGGGTTGGCGACTTAAAATTAGATCCAGGGTCCAGGAAACCTGGACATGTGGAAACCTGGACATGTGGAAACCAGCTCATCTGAATGAGGATGTTGCCCTCTGAAAGCTTCTTGAGTAACCTACATCAAAAAATATTTAAGAGCTCTCTGGAAGAAAAGAAGGAAGAAATATCTCAACCTTAGTAGGAGGAGAAGAATTCAGGTCATTTACGGTAGCGTTTTAATACTTTATCTACTGAGTCTTCAGGCTGAGCAGCTGTAATAGAAAAGTGTTCAAGTTCAGACTCGGCAATGAATATGTCTCTCCAGTTCATTAGCTTCTATCCAGTCACTGCTTGCTTCATGTTGGCATCACTAGTGCTCAGTATGTCGTCTGTCCAGCTCTTCCTTAGCCAACAGCCCTCCTTCAGGCAGTGCTCATCTCTTCCATTTGCTCCCTGTTTTCCTGACCCTATCCCAGCCCAGACACAGAGCACAAGACATTAATTTCCTTGTCACGTCAAAAAAACCCAAATCTCTGCTGATGTTCATTTGTTCATACCTGGGAGGTGTCTGAATTTGTTCTTCCCTGGACCAGCTTAAGCCTTGAGGGTGAAGCTGACTGAGCCTGCTCTTATGCCTTTGATACCTCCTACACAGAGCTAGAATTCACCAAGTACAGTGTCTGGTTTAATTCACCAAGTACAGTATCTGCTTTGTACTACCGCTTATGTCTACCACACCGCAGAAATAATAGCAAGTGCAGTTCAGTACGTTGCAGGTTTCACTTAACGACAAATGGACAACTCATCCAGTTTTATGGATTTTTTTCTGAATGCAGGGTGATAACTGCATAATTCGTCATAATTTAACTATAAATGCCAGGTTAAACGACCCTTGCTAGAAATGTTGCATTGGGGACCCACTGTGAATATTGTACCAACAAGATTTTTTTCGAGGACAAGCTCTGTCACAGAAACAAATGTCTCAAAGAACTTTTTAAGCACAGGATAAAAACCTGGGACATGCTGAAGCCAGTGGGAATTTTGCTCCTGACTTCCACAGAAATGGACTCTCACCCATCATTAGCATGTGTGAAATAGTTTCACATATTAAAACAAATTGGGGTTGTATGTTTAGGCAATTAAGGGATCAGCGAAGACAAATTAGAAACTTTGGCACCTAAGTTGCTGCACGTGCACTGCTATAAGGCAGCACAGCAATGGTGGGTCCCAAAAACCAGGACTCTGTTCCTGGTGCCATATAAGCATATAGGTAGACCAGATTTAACTTCAGTCTATTTCTTCTATTGGTTCCGCCCTGACTTTGATTAATGGGAAGGGAAAGTCTCTCTGCAATTAACTGGCCTTCAGTTCAGAATCATGTCATATGTCTGAAAGCTATTATTGTTATTATGAATATCAAGAGACGTGATATTCTCACTTCCTCTCTTTTTAATTGGGTGAAAACCATTACTCTCTCCCGGTGAAGTCTTCAATAGTCACATACACTCATCCTTTTTTTTTTTTTTTTTTTTGCATAATTCAGGCAAAAATAGAAGATCAGAGCACATTCTTATATGCAGGGAACGGATTTTATTTTTACATAGCTGTCTCCCATATGCGCAAGGGTACATTTAATAACCCAAAGACCACGGGACAGATTCTCAGATACGCTCACAGGGAGCTCAAGCAGAGACAAGAGGAGGCCCAGTGGGTAAAGGATGGGTAGTTCTGTACTGCCGACCTCATACCAATTTGTTATACCATTTGAATGATCCTCTCCCCCATGAAGACTGTACCAGGTTGGACCATGTATTTTCAGACTCTGGTGTCAGTACTGACCACTTCCCAGCCTTCTGCAGATGCAGAACAGAGAGCAGCTTGGAAATGCAGGGGCTGCATATCTGCCTGAAGGGGCAATGCTGGATGGGGAGGGTCATCCTCTGTAGTTCGAGTGCCTTTTAGTCTCCTCAGAGCGATCAAACAAGGCGATGAAATGCGAGGGGTCACACTGACTCATGGCCAGGGTCTTTTCCTTCTCCCACTTTCTCTAGATTTAAAGAAAAAAAAAAAACAAAAAAAAAACCAACTACCCACAACGGAATTATGGTGCTGTTGCAGGGATAGAGTAAGGCCAGGAATTAGCTTTGTCTTATTTGCCTAGGGGCAACTTAAAAGAAAACCTCACACTTTTGCATGCAGCACTTTTGTGGCTCACAAGCAGCTCGGAGTAAACTGTTAAATCAGAAATCCAACCACGTGCTCTACCGCACAGATTTCATCACTCAGGGAGCTGGATGTCTGCAGACATTCATTGAGCTGTGTCTATTATGAGAGCTACAAAGCATAGCAGCAAACAGGCGAGCATTACTATCAAGCACATTTCTGGTCTCTTTAATATTCTGCGTAGAAGAGCTGTAAGCATGGGGGAGTGCCGTAGGCTGTCTGAAAAGGGGGAAGTGTTCTCCGATGTTCCCTCGTTAGCGGATTTATTAGCATATCTTCCCCACTGGTTCACTCCCTTCCACACAGAAGTGTACAGGTAGCTCTGTGGAGAATTAAGCTTAATTTCCATTTCCTTCAGAGATCTTCAAAACTGCAGTACGGCAGTCCACCAAGAAACGCTTTCCCAACCGGACAGATGTTGAGCACGGCAGTCTGCATTAGAAACTATTTCCAAGAGCCTTGTGCAATGAAAGATGAAACTAGCAGCAGGGTTGTGGTCCCTGAACAAAACTGTTCAAAACCCCATTAAATCCCTGTTACTGCTTTTCCTGACAAACTAAAGTATGAAGGACAGAAGCAGCAAGAGTAACCTCAGAAGTCTGAAGGATGCTGTATCTGCTCCAGATTTGAACAGTCCGGTTAATGAATTGCGGATGGGGAGGAAGGCAGAAGGGCTGAGTCTGACCAGCCTGCAAGAACTATAAAACGAGACTATCCACAGCCACCCATCATTTGCAAACCCAGGCTCCCTTCGAAGACAGTGAATCTCAGCTTTCCAGTTCTGTGCTTCTCATCTTCCCTTATTTTACATAAAGAAAGAGTCTTGATGTCTGTAATGATGAGCCCGAAGGCGATAATCCCCTGATTATCCAAAGGACAGGTAGAGTAAAAGAGCCGTTTTCCTCAGACGTCTTGCCAATTGATTCATCCATTAGCTGTAGGGACCATCTACCTCGGAATGAGGGGGCAGCAGTGTCAGAGGGTCCCTCCCCTCCCTAGCTGCTTTGCTGGGTATGTTAACAAGCTGGCCAATTAAAAAATATTTGTAAGATGCTTCACTGACCTCGCAGTCCGCAAAATCAGCCACAAGACACGTCATTAGCAGCAGTGCAGTTAGGAGGATGCTAATTTATCTACTTGGATTTGCTCAGACTGGGAAAGATTTCGTTCTTTATCAGGGGGTTTCTGTTGTTATTTAAAGCTGCCATATTTCAATGTTTCAGGGGAATTCAGGCAGGACTATCACAAAAGAGGCACATCATGAAAAAACACCGTTAAGTTTTGTACAAATGAAGCATGTTCTTGCTTTTAGGCTTAACTAGCAGGTAGAGATTCCACGTTTCGATCCTCTCTCAGGTTAACTCTTGTTTTGATGAGGCATCTTGAGTCTTCCAGTTCTGCAGGGACACGGGTTAAATGGCACCATCGCTTCCTGCCCTGAACTTGTTTTTTCCATGACATTTACATTCAGACAGTAATAATGCTGCTTTGGCCATAATAATGCAACAGAGGGTCCCCGGGTATGAAACACTCAGAGCCCTCTCAGGGTACGAACACATGAACAAAATTGGTTTACTGGGATAAACTTGGTTGTAAATTTATAACGTATTAGCTGCCAACCATTAACCGTGCACATTCCTACCCAGTGGCACACTCTGGTAATTGCAAAGTAGGTTACTCTGCTTTCTTTCAAGGATAAGCTCCTCGGTCTTCATCTGGAAGGGAGGCATGCACACAGGCAGGTCTCTGCAAAGTAAGTAGTTCGCTGCAAGTTCACACCCTGCCTGATATTCGCATCGATAGATGTTGACTTTGCATTGGATGAGCTTAGTAGTTCTCCAGCGCTGTGCACCACGTACAGGGAGGACATTTAAGATAATCCTCCTAAAGGTCTTAATTTGCAGTGATCTGACCAGTACCAGTGGGCTCACGCTCCCCATCCCATTTTTGAAACACACCACTTGCTTTACCTGTTCTGAATTTTATATCAAATGGTTTATATCAAATTTTATATGAATGACAACTAGTTTCATTGCTAGAGCTAATCAGGTGAGTTCATCTACTAATCATGTCCAAAGCTTAGCTTCTATATACAGAAAATAAACAAGAAAATGAATTTTCATTATTTCTGGCTTTGATTTATTCATAATAAGACCTATTTACTTGGCAGAAGTTATGAGACCATCTGTCTTTCTGATATGTAATGGCTCCAAACTCAGTGAGCAGTGCTTTTAAAAGAAAACACTCGGAGCTAGTTTCAGACCTGCTGCGAGCAGCCCCAACTCTGTTACTTGACCCATTTATTTCTATCGCACATTTTTGAGACGTGGTTGGCCTACAGCACCTGGAACAAGCCGTTGCTTTAGGTCCATTAACGTTTTCCTTAATTGCCCCTCTCTCCCAGCTGATTAATATAAGCTTTGTCTGTACCTTTTTTCTGAGTAAAATCTTGGCACAGAGAAATTCATTAAAAATTTATCATATTTAAATACTGTGTTTTAAAAGATAGATAAATAAGTACAAATATGACAGATCAACCCATACTTAAGCAAAGAAAAGCAATGCATTATGCCAGTCCTTTGGAGAAAGGTATGGGTTTTTTCCAAGAGAAATTAGAGGGGACATGATAGTTTAGGGAATTGTTAATATAGCAATAAGCTGCAGAAAGGTGTACTAATTACTGGGCGTACCTCAGACGTACTGCTATGCGTGAGACTGATGGATGAATAATGAGGAGAATAATTGTGATTCTGATTTCATTTAAACCTTAAGTAGCTCCACTTAAATTAATGGAGTTCCACACGTGTAGCAGTGGTGTGGAATCAGAATCAGATTCAAAACTGCTTTCGACTACCTGGGATGTGTACCTCCATACAGTTCTCCATGGCAAGAGGCTAGCTTCAAAGTACTGCAATGATAGCTTGTAGCATTAATAATTCATAGTTTTAAAAGGTGCCTTTTTCCTTTATACGGCTATAATAAAAGAAATAGACCCTAGAAAAGCAAAAAATTCCCAAGCCCTGCAACATTTAAGAAGAAAGCCTCATCTTGCAATGCAGGCATGGAGAGTATATCATTTGCAGAAACTCTAACAGAGGAGCTGCTACCTCTTTTGCACAAGTCAAATGCATGGCACAGTTAGGAAGAACACCAGGTGACAGTTACCTGATGGGAAATCAGATAAATGACAGCGACTGTCTGTTTACACATCTTCTCAATGATAAGGACACGGCCATTCAACACAGACAGCTCTCGCCTGACTGTGGCCTCATTAAAAACATTTGACAACCCAACTGTATGTAAGGTGTTGAATTTCCAGAGACAAATTCAAAAGCAGCCCTGTCTGAAAGGCAGGCAGATTTTGTTGAAAGAAGAAATGAAAGGACGAAAAGACATGGAGTTACTCTCTCCTCTCTGGTCAGGGTGCCCCAGAACATGGTGAATATACAGGAAACTGCTCTTACAAGTGCTGAGCCTGCCCCATGGAGAGAGGACTTGTACCTTCAGGACACATTTCACGAGTAATGAATGCACTTACAGAACAAGAAATGAGGAAACTGGAGACAGCAGAACTGTTAATGTAGGAAAGATAGGTGATTTCCAGCTAACAGTAAATGCATAGTGAATCCAGAAATGTGGTAACTTTATTTTAGAATATATCTTTGGATTTAATTCTGCCACTTTCCTTATTCAAGGCAGCTGGGCTACGTAAATAAACCCTCTCCCTTTCTTTTCCAGATGTTCCTACAGCAGCCAACGGTGTCCCTGAGCTTTAGCAATACTCAGCAGCCAGAGCCACAACAGCTACAGCAGAGGTCAGGGGCCATTTCGCAGCAGCAGCTTGTCCCCAGTCCTCAAATTCAAGGGCAAATTGCATCTTCGCAAACAGCGAACCAGCAAGCACTGAGAGAAGCAAGCGTCATATCGAGCCAGGTAATCATTTCCTTGAATAGAGAAGCATTTATATGGCAAGATGATGCTGTTATTAAACAAGCAAGTAAAAACACGTCGGTCCTCTAAGTGTGCTTTTGCCTTTCCTTCCCTCTTCTCGTCTATAAGGGCAGCCCATATAAAGGGTCTCCCTACAGCATTTACTCTACTTTAAATCCCTTTTTTAAGACCTCAGCCAGGAGGATTGCTCGAGCAGCTGTCTTAGCTTGAAAGCTGAGCAGAGGGAAGCATGCAAAAGGTGTGGATGACTTATTTTTCTTTAGCTGACTGTGAAAGAAACCTGACTGACCACACTGGAAACTAGCAATAGCGGTGTCAGCAGTGCGACTTCTCAAAGTAAGCTTTACCCCCGCTCGCTCCTTGAATCCAGCCAGACGCCACTGACACAGCAAAGCCTGCTGTCTGCTGTGGTGGCACACAGCTGGAATACATGGAGATTTGCGTGAGACCCCCAGGTTGTGAGCGTAACAGGTTCCTGCACAGGGAAATAAAGTTCAGCCTCAGTTAGAAGTAACTGAGACCTGTGAAAGCTAGTAGGTTTGGCACAGGATTATTTTTTTTTCCTTATTGATGGGTTCTCGGCATTTCCAGTTTTTGCTCTTCCACCCACCTGTTGTACATCTCTTTACAGAAAACTTAGCTCCTGTTTCTGTTACCTGAGTGCGCAGCAAATACAGCTGTACCATTATCTTTACACCCCTCGGCTCTAGCTTTTAACCTCCTACATACCTGTATTATAATGACTCTTTTAAAATAAGAAGTGTATCCGTATTATAAGTAGAAAAAGAAAAAAACTTTTTTTTTTTTCTTGAATAAGGTTTACTTCCATCACTGGGCTTTTTCAGCAGTGCTAATCACACCTAACTTTGCTCGTGTCTCCACGGGGTGGCTGTTCGTCTCCTTGACCGCTTGCCAGGAGGACCGGGGCGGCTTTGCTTTCACAGCGCCCTGGTCCCACGGGTTTCTCGAGCGGGTGACACAAAGCGTGGGGCGGCCGCGGGTACCGTACCGGCGGCAGGCTACGGGAACGCTATCGTTTCTTCTACCCGACAGGAGC